TTAATGCTCGTGATCCAGAATAACGTAGTAATGCAGAATTACAAAGTAGCCATCAATGCCATTCAGCATAACGTCTTTCCATTCGCTCATGAATTTTTCAGAATTTATAATTTACCATCGAATCTGGAAACTAATGACACTAATGCTATAGTGTCCTACGTATCGAGCGAACTTGACCAGTTGAAAAATGAACTATTGAAATCCGATGCCGTGATCGACAAGTACGATCGTTTCGTGCATCAAAATATCGTTTTCAATGGTAGAAAAGGAACCTCGAAGCCATTCTACACCTGGAAATACAACGAACACAAAAATAATATAGAAAAGTTGTTGAAAGGACAGGAAGTGGTGCTAAAAGCTGATATAAAGCACGGATTCAAAGGAAACGCCATAAAATTCAATAAAATCGGTATCAACTTTACATCGCCGAATAAAACGATCGAACAGAAATTACGCAATTTGTTGCAAGACTTCAGTGTCACTCTGACCCATTTGGGCCACTCATTCTACAGATGCGACGATAAAGTATACTTGATCCCGAGTGCCAATCAGACTATTCAATACTCGATAAACCAACATGACGGAAGCAACGTTCCAGTTACCACCAACAAAGTTTATGATAAAATAGCCAAAAATCAACCTGTTCTTAGTCCTTATGCAACGTGGCAGATGCAATTAAATCACGACGAGAATGATTTCGACGAATTATCAAAATACGCGAATGAAATGATCGATCTGGTGCTCGAAGGTACAGGACAGTACATCGACTTAAATCTGGATGTGTGCAATAATCAGCTCGATCAATACTACATAAGGACTGACAATCAAACCAATGGCATTCAAATCTACGACAAAACTCCAGAACTTAATTTAAAAAGTGATGAAGGAGTTATCAATGATTTATGGGTAAGCCGAAGAGTACGCCGTATTCGTGCCAATGCAACAAAAGTTACATCATTGAGTATTGACAGGAAAGTTAGCTTTGACAAAAGAAATGTTGACGATCTCGTGTATAAATTGAGCGATTTGAGATTCGAAAATGACTCTTACATTGATTACAAGGAACTTCAACGACGGTTACTATTACTTTGCAGTTATCAGACGATACCGTATTTATGTAAAACGAGAGATCGTCAATGGTGACAGATGATTTCTTCAAATAATTTTACACTTTTATATTTTAATTTTGTATAATTTAGTTGTAAATGCAATAAAAAAAATAGTGGAAATTCATTATTTGTTTGGAACTCTATTTTCTTTCCAGTTCAAACCTCTTATCCTCAAATAAATTTATCCAAGTAATAACATTACATAAATAAAAAAAAAATTAAATTATATTCTTATAGCTTTTAAATTTTATTTAGCTGTAAAAAAATTGAACACTTTTTATTTAAATTTGATTCTAATAAATTATACATTCAAAAATATTAATTTTGTTTCTTCACACTGAAAAAATTATCCAGATTTTTGATCGATCGACAATTTTTGTTAGTGTCTAAAAAATTCTGATACGTTTAATTAATGGATTTTAAAAATTTTGTTCAACCCTGTTGGTTAAATATTTTAAACGTTCGTCACGAAGCTATAATAATTACGAATACTTCTTTATTTATTTGAGTCTGTGGTCGATTTTATTCAACTTTATTTTAACCTTGTCTTTCTTGAACTGAATATTTACAATGTTCAAATGATTAATTTTTGGGGGATAAAAAGTGTTTTTTTCCGACGATGAATACATTTTCGAGTTATCTACATTCAGAAAACGTTTCTTTTCATTTTATTACAATTAAAATTATTTTTATTATTCATATCTTATAAAAATTGCAGTTAAAATGACTAATGAATATTTCTTTATTAATTATTTACGCAAAATATCGTGTTTACTTTTTCTCTGAAATCAATAAACGATCATGATTGCTTTATAGTTTTTCTAGTAAATATTTGCAAAATAATGTTTTTCTGCGACTATGTCAATGAATCAAATATTTATTAGAAGATCTTAGTTTTGAATTAAATTCGATTTTTATCACAGTTAAAAAATATATTTTTTCGAAAACGAAAACACCATTATAGATGTATTATCTATAGGTGTCTTCCAATTGTACTTAAATAAGTTATTTATTCACAGATTATTTTAATCGGCAGCTATCTGTAAGAAAATTTGTATGCTATCTTTAAATCAATCAGCTTGTTTTGATGCAAAATTTTTTTGACAAGTATATTAATCATATTGAGAAACTAAAGCATCATAAATTACAGTATGATATTATTTACCAATGTCGCAGAAATTGTAAACCATTCAAAATCTATTCAAAACTTAATTTATAGGGTAGAATTAAACATTTAATAGTATAATACGTGCCTAGGGAGCGAAAAACTGGAAAGCCTCAGAGCACGTGCAATTATCGTCTGAGGCGAAGCTGAGGCCTATAAACATGTGCTCTGAGGCTTTCTTTTTCGCTTCATAGGCGCATATACTATTTTTCATGAATCCCCCAGCAGAAATTAACTTTTCCTCCTGAAAAAAAATTCTCAACTATTGATGTCTAGAAAAGCTGAAAAAGTTTCTACGAACTACTATTGACAGCCTGTTTTTTGAAAATTACTTGATCATTTGAAAATGGTATTAAATATTGCATGACCAAAGGTGTAATGAAAACAGTATGTCTCACTTGTCTATAATTTTGGTATTTTGATAATACATAATTATTTAGTATACACACTCTTTCTCTCCTCGATCGTTAATCTAGCTTATTTGTATCTTTATAATAAAAACTTTCACAAGATCAAAATATTTTGAAAAAATTGATTATTGATAAAAAATATAATTATCAATATTTTATATGCTTTGAGATGAAAGAATTTAATTAATAGATACATATTTGTGTGATACCACTCATCTAATTTTTCAATTGTCTGCAGAAACAATAGAGACTGCGCTAAAACAATGCTAATTAGAAATGATTGAGTGTTAAGTAAAAGTAAAAGGTACTAAATAACGTCGCTCCAGTGCAAAAATTGCACTAATGAACTGGAAAGCACTTCACTTTGTTAGTGCAGTTTTTGCGCTGGAGCGACGAGTTTTGTTGCTTTGTATAGTAAATTTTGAATTTTATTACAATTATAAAATTAATACTTTTTTGTGCCACCCCAACCTAAAGTAAAATTTTACTCTCGCTGAGCAAAATGAAAATATTACTTCAGGCTGGGGGATTCACAAAAAATTGTATTTGTACCCATGTAGCGAAAAAAGAAAGTCTCAGAGCACGTGTTTATCAGCCTCGGCTTCGCCTCGGATGATAAATTACACGTGCTCTTAGACTTTCCAGTTTTTCACTCCTCTAAATGCAAAATATACTATTTAATATCTTATATGTACAGTTTTTATCATATATTTTTTTATCGTGGATATTTAGATATTTTTCACTCCTCATAGATACATAGAATCTTTTATACAAAAATAAATTCAAAATAACAAGTTTACCAAAAATTGTCCACCTCTCTTGAGTACTAGCATCTAGCTATTTTACTCACAATTTTCCTTCGTAAAAGAGTTTGACGAAATTATTTGAATTTCGCGCCACCTGTTGATATTATAAAGTAGAAAGTCAGTAGAAAGAATTGCATCTTGGTAAAGTATTCGCATCAGCTGTGTTTCTACAGTGCAGTGAGTAATCATCTGTCGTACAGTGGTCAAAAAATTATTAATTTGATCGATTTCGTTTACATTCTCAATGCTTTCGCGAGCTCATTTCACATCAAGAGTATTTTTTAACTGGAAAAAGTATAATTACAGGTGATGGAAATAATTTTATAAAATCATAATACTCTAACAACATACTTGATGAATATTAATTTTGTATTTATCAGCACGCAAACGAAACCTCCGCTGAGCAATCGTAATCGATCTTTGCGATACGTTAGCGCTGCATGTGTCTCCTTGGCTGCTGCTTATTGTTATTATCGTTATGATAGATATTATGAAAAAGTGTCAAGTATTGCCTCTTTCAGTACTATTGATCTCGTCGGCAAATCAAAAATATATCAAATTTTAAAAATAAAAAATGAAACAAAAGGATCATTGGAAGATCAACAAGATGCTAGATGTAGGCCTTCAAAATCAAGTGTGTATAAATATGTTATAATTTGAATACAGGTAAAAAAGTTTTTTTTTTGAAGTTTCAAATGTAGATCCTGAAAAGTATAGATTAGAATTTTACCGGGGCAATGAAACATCGATAGCTTCTTTGAGTTTGAATGAACTTAAACGCTATCCTAAAACGACAATATTCAGTTCAATACCGTGTAAAAATGATGAAAATAAACGACAAAAGTCATGGAGTGGAACAAGTCTGTGGGACATCATAAGGGATTTGGGTTAGCCAAACACTGTTAATAAAATTTTCTTTTTTCTGCTAGCGTTTTAAGTGAATTAAAAATTAATTTAAATATAAATTTTATAAATAGATCTGGAAATATCAGATTATTCGAATCTTCGTTTCATTTGTCTCGATGCAAGTGAAGATGAAGTGTCATCCACTATTTACGGTACAATATTACCGGTTATCGAAGCTAAAAAATTCGACATACTACTGGCTTACGAAATGAATGGCCAAAGCATCAGTCCAGAGCATGGCTATCCCGTACGTGTTGTCATACCTCAGTTGCCTGGAAGAAAAAACGTCAAATGGCTTTGGAAGATCATTCTTGAAAAATAAATTTGGTCAGGTAATATAGTCTGATTAAAATTAACCATAGTAGTTGAAATTTTTTTACTTAAAATGTTATTTTTAGACAAGTAATACGTGTCAATTATAAATTGCTCCAATCAGAAATTCAAAGCAATGATGCAATATCACATTTGTTCTCATTATACATTATAAAAAGAAAACAATTATTACAAATAAGATTAAGCTATAATAATAATAATATCTTTACTTTACAAATACAACACTTTTATACGTGTTATTCGTTCGAGTCTTTTGAATACAATCCACACTTCAAACATCGCGGGAACACAATGAAAACTTTTTTGCTTCTACCGTTGTAGCATTATCAGATAGATTAAGATTTTGCACCATACTCGCAGATGTCTGATTATGATGATGGTGGTGAGGATTTTGAAGGGTCGGCGTCGGCGTATTAAGACTGTTTGTGCGGTGATGAAGACAGCTAGTCAGACAAAAGGGCCCAAAGCAGGCAGCTGCGGGTGTCATCAGAGGATTTACCAATGCCAATGAACGTCTGCAAGATTAATGGCAATTGTTAATTGTACGACACGCGGATATCAAACTCGGAGAATAAAATTTTTCACTTTGTGTACATTTATTTTATTGCGCTCCGACACGCTAAATGACGATTTAATACACAGGTAAATCGAAGCACGCGTGGAGGAGTGAAGTTTCGCTCGAAATCCGAAATAATTACGTGACGCAGTTACTAAGGTCGTTAGGGTGCTTATTGATACTACATGGAAAGATAAGTATGCATTATGTGGTATAGCTTCAAACCTCAATTGTTGATCTTGTTGTGCCTTTTCCAATCTTTTATCCTTAGCTCTGCGATTTTGAAACCAAATTTTAATCTGCGTTTCGCTCAATTTCAACTCAGCTGCCAACTCGAATCGCCTCCCCCTCGATATATACTCGCCCAATTCGTACTCGGCTTCGAGCCGCTGGGTCTGATCGTTGCTAAACGTCGTTCTCAGTCTTCGTGGTTTGCCTTCTTTCTTTTTTCGTCTTGCAACTGCAAAAAACAACAAGTTAGGCGCATGTCTTTATTACCTTCCGAAAAAAAGAGGTCGTCTCCGCGCGACACCGGAAAAAATCAGTGTTTGCATGACAGGATCAACGGCGATGAGTCTATACGAATGCGACACCTCGTACGAAGGAGGAGAGACGTATAGAATTTCTCATCTTTCGGGGAGAGCAGATTGCGAGCGACGAAGCCACTGCAAGTGCATTAACGTGTTTATCCGATGCACATCCTTTTTCTGCACTCGTGCACGATATGTAGGCGTGCGCGATAATTATACGAATATGTGCGTTCGAGACAAGTATTATGGGGTTTTAAATCTGGCTCGATTTCCTCGAAAATAAATGAATAAGTAAAAAAATGTAGATGGAGAAACCTTAGATACTCTTTTACCCATTATATTGGTTTTGTGCTTAGTTAGATATTATTATTAAAATGTCAGGCGATTGAACGTTAATTGTTAGTGTTAACTACAATTAACTGTATTTAATAATCAATATTGTCGATGACAATATCATAAATTAACAAATGACATTCTTAAAATAATTTTACTTCAAAAAATCTAAATTATAATTTTTATCAATTAATATATCAGCGATCAAGTAGTTTTTATTTGTCACGTTAAATCTAATCTCGCTCAGTACTATTAAAAAACATTAAATCTTTCAAGCACTTGTAAAACCCTACAGTTGAAAAAATCGCACTTTAAAACGGCCTTCCATCTTTTTCACTGCAAACAGGATTAGGTGGAAGCTGTATACATATATTGTATCGCGCTTACATATGTAACGCACTCAGTCGAAAAATCCTTTTACGCTAGCCGACTTTTGGCCCCCTAATATAGGAGCGGCTTCGCTGCTCGCTGCAAAAACTCAACGATTGAGCTGGTCCAGGGGGGCCAATTGAACGCAGCTAAAGTACGGATTATTTAGCTATAATAAGCCACTTGTCTTCGTCGCTCGGTGGATGAATGATTTGATTTTCGCCAACGATAATTTAATTTAGGGCATGTAATATATCGAGTATGATCTTGAGCTACTACAAGTTTAAGCAGATCGCTTGTATTTATACTGAAATGCTGTTAGCTGCAAGCAGTAGATTTTCTTGGCGAAACCGTCGAATCGTGTGAAAAGTTTTGCCATTTTTCTTGCGCAAAAGCCACAATAAAGTTGTGTTTTTAACAATACGGGTTCGAAGAAAGTCCGAGCGCTGGACGCGCACACGCTGTCGATGGCCTGTGCACATGCACAAACGTCTATCAAGATAAAATAACTGAACGAATACGCGATATTATAAATCGCGCTATTGAGAAGCGTCCAACTGCGTCGCGGTAATCCTTTAACAATGGCGCACCGGCAGCGACGAATGGTCGAGAGGTGTCGACGAGTACGAGAACTCGACCGGCAATTTTCATCATCGCGTTACCTACCCCGCGAGATTATGCTTCGTCTCTTTCTCCCACCTCTCCAGTTTCACGACATATATACAGATATATATTATTACGCGGATTTAAACTCAAATTTACTCGAGCGTTATTTGTATTATTCTTTGATACACTTGCGTATTGTGGCGCTTGCGAGGCTGCTCTATACACCTACATTATGTCTATGTAGATATTGCTACTTTTCTCCGGCGCGAAATGAATATTACCCTCCCTAGCATGTGCAGCAGGTTATTTTAAAGGATTTATTATTACACTTGTAATGATAATAGATATAGAGTGATAATTTTCGATTGATTGATCGCAAAGAACATCGTGTTTCGATGGACATGTAAGTGTACTGCCAAGTTTTCATAATATCGTTACATGACTTTTATATTGTAAATTCAACCAAATACTATAGGTGTTATTGAAAAAAAATTCATTTTGGTGGGGGGAAAAAAATTACAAATAACAATAAATTTGGAAAATTAAATTATTCAATTAAGCTAAAAAATGTAGTTATTCGATGTCATAAAATTTTATAAAAAAATAGCTTTGATATTTTCGAATGAAAATGTTGGATTGGAAAGTAAGAATGTAAGAGTTTTTGATCAAATTGAAAAAGCGAACGTATAAAGAGTACTTACGAAAAGCTGCCAAGCCCTGCAGATGCTGTTCAACTCTGACTGAGTTGTTGTTCATCGAGTGTAAATGCATCAAAGGTGCCCAACTGTGACCCATCGGGACCGAGGGTATCGATATCGGCGGTGGCGGTAAATATAAACCTTCTGATTTGCCCGTTAAACGCTGTTCGACGATTTCATTTACTTCGTCTTCGTCTTCGTGTAAAATATCAACCTCTTCTTCGTCGTTTTCGTTGACGTTATTGTTGACGGAAATAGTTTTCGATGTTGACGACACAGACGTCTCATTCGACTCGTAAAGTCGCGCAAAAAATTCCCGCGGTAGGCAAGGACGTTTTTTTTCTCTTTGCTGCGACGAAGTTGATGTGGGCTGTTTGATTGATAACGAAGCCACGCAGGTGTTCGACATAGTTCCAAGATTTCTATCTCCTTCAACTTTTTATTAGCTATATCAGAAAAAAAACTGCACCAGAATCACTTATCACGTCAATAGTCCATTTAACATAGAGAAATTACATGGATAAGAAAAAAACACGAACGCGTCAAGATGTGCGAACTGTTCGACGGCTCGATGAGATATGAGATTGGATTCTGCACCCCCGAAACACGTGCGCGTACTGGGTATCATTAGGCGCAGGAGATATGCAACAGGAGCCGCCGCTGCCGCTGCTGCTGCTGCTGCTGCTATACGCTGAGCAACAGTAGCATAAGGAAGAAAGAAAGGAAGGAAGGAAGGAAGCCACCCTGCACACTAACTGTGTGTGTACCGAAATGTGCGGGGGATATTTTACGATGACCATCGCCTCAATATAAAACTCGATGCTTTTCTGAAATAGGTATTTTGATGTATATTCAGCCATATTACTCATCGGTAATTTTCAATCCGAGCTTATTGCAATTCAAGCGAGATTGCGTTTACGTTTTAATCATTGAGACTCACCCTACCCTTTTCTTTCGACTAATTCATTATCACTTTTTCTCATCTTTAATATACATATGATCCTTGTTTTTCTCATTACACATAGTGAGTGGAGAAATATAAGGAGCCAATCGGCTATTGATAGAGCTAAGATTCAGCCGAGTGAAAATAAGGGGGTACATCGCGAAGCTTCTTTAAGATATGATCGACGAAGAAAAAAAGCAATTGAAGATTCTCGGCAGATTTCAAGGTGAGCGAATTGTTTTTTAGCCAAGCGTAAAAAATAACCCCTGTAAAAACTTTTCTCGATAATATATAAATTTTCATGAAATAGTTTGCGTCATTTCAACGAGTGATAAAAATATAAAGAATAAATATTTGCAAAAGCTGAGGGTACTTTACATGAAAAGACATCTTAACAAATAATATTGATAACATTTGAGAAAGTATTTGGTAATTTATTCAAGTTACATTTTTTACTTTAGCGGTTTACAGTGAGCCGCAACAATTTTATATGACGAGTGTAACCTGGGACACGGAAAACAGCAGCGCGAAAAGCCTGATTCGTCGGATCGTCGACCAATCGGTGAGCGGTAGTTCCGCGTATCGACCCTTTCAACCAATGCTGTTATATAGCGACGAGTCGCACTAACAATTAGGAGCTTTATCGCAGCCTCTGCACCTCCCCACCCGGTGCTCCATTGTTCCGATAGTCGACGCTAACAATTATTATTATACTTATACGTACGTTGGAAATTGTTATTACTCGCGTCTATATGTATCCAGCTTTGCTTAAGCGTTAAAATTCAACGAGTGAAAGCTTGCCGCCGCTGCTCGCATTGTTCAGTTTACGAGTATTTCAAACACTGTCTGAATTTAATACGATTACTTGATCAGAAGGATTTAGTAATTTTTTTCTATTTTCAAATTTTCCATTCGGGCTTTAAAAATTTATTTTCATCCTCATCTTTATGTGGTAGTGTTGCTAGTCAAAAGTTATACTTTTTTTGTAAAAAAAAATGTTTAATTGATAAACTTATTTTATTTCAATTTAAAATTCAATACATTTGTTCAATCGTCGTGATGAATGACAGATTTCGTTGATAAATTGTTTTCGATTTTTAAGTGGTTATTGAAGATTTTCATTTCTTTGAGCTTATCAAGTATCTTTTGATGTTATAATAATTATAAAAATAAAGTGGTATTTTGTTTTCATCCTTATTTTAATAATTATTTCTTAGAAAATCGCAATTATTTCTAGTAATTTTAGCAAAGCTGCATAGGGACTAACTGCTGGAAGTATTCTTAAATTATTTTGTTAATTCATCATTAATTCAACAAACATTCTGTTGAAAATAAAAAGTTTTGAAGAAAAGTTAAAATATTCAACTATTAAAATATATACATATAGTTTAAATACAAATATTTTCATTTTCAAATTCTTCTCTAGTATACTTTCAATACTATGGCCTTATCTACCTTCTAAATCTTATATGGCATTTCAAGTTACACTACACTGAAAATCTATTATAAACATTTGCCCCGGTAAACTTTTCAGACCTCACGTTGACTTAGATACATCACTGAAAAAAAATTTTTTTGATAAGAACATTTTCAAGTATTGTATAGAATAGGTTCAGTAATTATAATAAAATGACATTGAAAGTAACTTTGCTTTATCATAAAATATACTTTGAATTAAAGTAAACGACTCGACATTGCGTCAAAATCGAATTATTTAAGAAATCGACCAAAAAGTATACTTTTTTGCACTGCAACGTGTTTTTGCTTACATAATAATCGATTGAATTTGCTTGTTCAGATTAAACAAGCCAATAAACATTTACACAACACAACAACAATTACAATTTCTCCTATCATTATCATTTAAAAAGAAGATTTCAGGTTAATACTTACGAAAATATTTTTAGAATTTTGTTATAGATAATTTCAGTAGCATTTTTCCCAAGAATGAAATCTCCATGAATGAATGGATGATCCACGTAGTACAAACCCAATTTCTGAGGTAATTGATTATAAAAATTCAATGCATCCTGAAAATGATATATGAGAAAATTGAGATATAACAATTAATGCGCACGTTGAAAGAATTGTAAAGGCTACTACTATCTCATAATTCATAAAATTAAAATAATAACAACGGAGATACCGAAGTAAGGCCAAAATTAACATTTCCAACACGTTTTCTGATATTTAGATAAAATATTTTTTTTAATTTACGTGACTGCTTTCATTTTGTTAAGTTCACGTAGCTTTTTTGAAAAATATTATGCAGAAAACTGAAAAAATGTTCAATTTGTTCTAGCTTCGGTGTCCCCGTAAAATAAAATCATTGTAATGTTAAAATTAACAGTACCTTTTCATTAATGAATGGATCTGTTTCGGAGATGAAAATAGCAATGGGAACTTGAATATTTGAGAGCGAATACTTTGGAGGACGGGTACTATTATAAATCTTAAGATTATTTTCTTGCCCGTAGTCGAAATTTTGAAACTCATTCGCTTCTATTAGTTGCAACAGGTGACAGAAAGATTTGAAAGATGTGCCTGATGGATATTTGCTAAAATATATTGGTAGTCTTTCCTTTAACAGTAATTAAAATTTTTTCGTCATTATCAAAAGTCGAATTGCGTTTTAAAGTAATAATTTGAAGAAATTTTCCAACGAACATGATCTAATTGTTCAGGTCCAACGAATCCAGAAATTGCAATACTGCAAATCCATTTGCCCATAACAGGAACATTACAAATCGTATCAGCAAAAAAGTCGAATACGACGTGCTGTTTGAAAAATTCATCAATACCTAGTAGATCTGCAATAAACTGCAATTTATTCAAATTTGTTGCCAAGAAATGGGCAAACGGAGAGTCGATATGATTCATGTACACGGCTGGTGCCAAACCCACCATTGCTGCTACATTTTTTGCGACATCTGTCTTTTCAGACGCCATAATCGAAAATGAAGACGTACCCATTGAGTAACCGATGTAAAATAATTTTTTACCCGTCATATTAGTTATATAGGACACGTAAGCAGCGTCATCATAAATGCCCATTTCATGCCAGCTAAAAGTATAATTTCGGAAAGAAAGAACGTTAGTTAAAGTATATTTTCATTAAGTGGTAATAAATATTTCTCACATTAATTCTGATTATATTGACCTGAAGTTCCAAAATTGGCGATCTGCTGGTGATAAAGTTTTGTGGTTTTTAGAGTACGTATTACCACGAGAATTTCCGATCCAAACGTCGTATCCATGGTCAGATAAGAAAAATGCTGAAATTTTTCAAGATTTTGCTTTAAACAAAAATTTTGAATGTAAGCGCATCGTTTGTATTATCACGAGAAAAGTACGACATAATCGAGTTGTTATCGTTTGAATTTTGCAATCATAATGAATTATAAAACGGAGGCTTTATACTTCTGATTACTCATCGACTTCGATTCACATTGTGTGAACATCAATGCATCAAAGATACTACTTTTTTTATTGTTGCATTTTTCAAGTGTTACATATAATGCAATATAAAAATAAAAATTAAACTGACCAAGTGATCGATTCCGTCCATTTTTTAACCAATCTAATGAACTTGATAAGAGACCATGTTGTAAAAAAACAGGAGGTCCTGATGGGTTCGGTATTCTATGGGCTGTGAGCAAGTAACCATCTTCAGTTTCAACCGTGTAAGTCTTACAAGTATAATTTTCATTTGCAATAAAATCTTCCTATTCAATATTTATTTGATTAATTTTATTATTAAAATAACTTGTAAATTTTCATTATGAATGAAGACTCACCGGTGTTTTCAAATGAGTTTTTTGCCCATGCTGAATATTCAAAAAATAATAGAGTAAGATGCTCACAGCTACACTCACAATTATACTACGAGTGAACTATAAATTAAATTATCCTTATAGTTATCGCTATGAATCACAAATTCATTTATAATTTTGTACTACCTTTTTATCCGCTCTCAACATGTTCACAATATATTTTTTTGAAAAAGACATCATGACGATGTAAATGTTAAGATTTATAACTTTTTTCAGACTTTTCCTTGACAACATGTGAATAAGAGACGCAATCGATGGCAATGTAATAATGAAATGCAGCAGAATAAAACATGTTTCGCTAATGATCAAGTCGCCTTCTTTTCTTGATTAAATTTTATCTCCCGACGTCTTCCAAGCATTAAACGCTAAATATTTTCATGATAGCCTCTTCTAAAGTTCAAGAATTTTTGTTAGTTAAATTCTTACATACAACTTCCTTAGAAAATATAATTTTGAAAAAATTTTAGTTCATATTTTATTTAACTTGTAAAAAATATGCATAGTTATGAAATTTCTTTTCATGCAGGCAACATAATTAAATGATAAATTAATGATACACTGATAAGTTATTTTTTATTCTAAGCAGTTGTGCGGTAAAATCATTATTACTTAATCTATCACAGTTGACATTTTTTTCTGTTCTCGAAAAATTTAGTTTTGTTGTCTAATAAATATAAAATTGATCGAAAAAGTTAACTAAATATATCAACAATTTTGGTGTTGATAACTTCTGATATATCCTTTCCAATAATAAAATCTAGATGATTGAAAGTACGATCAATATAATACAAGCCTAATTTTTCAGGTAATTCATCATAAAATCGAAGTGCATCCTAAAAAAGTAATAACTCACATTCATATTATGCTGATTAATATGAATTTTATAAAAAACGTTCATGATTCGCGTTACCTGTTCTGAACTTAAAGGATCAGTTTTCGATAAAAAAACTGCTGTTGGAATATTAATTTTAGAAATATTATATTTTGGTGGAGTTGAACTGTTATAAATGTTCATATTTTCAACTAAACCGTAGTCAAACTTTTGAAGACCATTCGACGAAATAAGCTGCAGAATATGATAAAACGATTTGAAAGACATTCCTGAGGGATACTTGGTGAAGATAATCGGTAATCTAGACTGTACAATTTTTTTTACATAAAATTTAATATATTCTAAATTTTTTAACACATACAAATATCGTAATACTTATACCTTATCTAGCTGCTTGGGACTGTAACCAAGGATGAAATAAAATATTTGACTGCACACGTGATCTCCAATTAAATGTAGTCGACACATATAATTACCCATGTAATCAAAAATCCGACTATGACCAAATAACTCATGTATCTTGAACAATTGCGCTAAGGCCTTGAAAAATGTAAATATAATGTATAAAGAGGTAATAATCATTACAAATAACGTAATCAACCAACTTGTATTTCTTTCTGATATCTAGCTATTAAGTGTACCAATCTATGATCGATGTTACCCATGTAAATTGCGGGGGCGAGGGCAACCATAGCTTTAACCTTTTTAGCTACTTCTGGTCTTTCTGCTGCCATGATTGAAAAAGTCAATGTTCCCAATGAGTAACCAACGTAAAAAACTTTTGAACTCCTCGTTTTGCTTATGTACTCTATGAAAGCTGCATCGTCGTAATAGCCCATTTCATGCAAACTACAGTGTGATAATACAAGTCTTGTTATATACAGTTACTCGCAAAAAGCAATTTATAAATGTTAAAATTAAGTAACTCAAAATCCCAAAATCGCTGATCGTCAGTTGGCAATGTTTTATGACTTCTGGAATAAGCATTGCCTCGAGCATTTCCCATCCAAACGTCGAATCCGCGATCCCACAAAAAGTAAGCTAAGCGACAAAAAAGAGTTAATTGAGCACTTATTCACACATGCGTCATAGCATCGATCTTTGCGTGCACGACTACGACACTCACGAAGAGATCGATTTTTTCCACTTTTTAACCAGTCCACCGTGCTCGATAAAATGCCATGTTTCAAAAATACTGGAGGTCCATCTGAATTTGGTATACGATGCAAAGTCAATAGATATCCATCTTCAGATTCAATAACGACTTTATCAACCGGATAATTTTCTTTCTCTATAATCTCTTCCTGTCCGCAAGCATATAAAATAGTAAAGATATTACAATATTAATAATTTTATTCTGTACTTATCCATAGATTTAACTTCTATCTTACAACTGACAAATGAAGAATTGACGGTTTTTCTGCATCGATAAACGATAGGTAATAAATCACAACACTAATCAAGCACAAAATAAAACTCCATCTTAATCTACGGCATGTTAGAACTGGCATGTGAAATAAACCATTGAATAGTTCAAACGTATCATTCGCTGCGTTAATGACGACGTTACTCTTCGATCTCTGAGATTTCATTGCATATTTATCCTTCATTTTGCCAAACTCTTATTTTTTAAACGTCTATATGGTAACGTATAACATATGGATACTTTTGTTTGATAAATACCGATTGAATTAGAAGATTCAAAATAACCAGTTTGCGTACGAGTAAAATACGCGCGTTCTGTCACTAGTACACGTGTGCACAATTTAAAGCTTACTGGCACGTATTAAGACTGCTTTTTTATTATTGCTTCTATGTACATGCGCATTCTGTATCATTATTTTTATCATCAGATAGATAAATTAAAGTAGAGATGTCTGAAAGTTACGATACGATTTACATTTTTGAGATTGGGATCGGTGGCGAAAAATAAAAAAAATTTCGTTTATTTAAGGTTTGGCTTGCTTTCGTTTTTGATCAAATGAAGGGCTAATTACTCTTATATGAATTAATTTTTAGAATAGTTTGAATATTACGAATCAATCAAATGTTAACAAACTCATAGCTTAAGATAAATTTAACAATTAAAATATAATTAAACATTTATGACTTCAACAATAAAGCTCAAGAAAATAATTGTAATTTTTTTTATAGTTCCAACAATTTTTAATAATATATAAAAAAACATATATTATACAAAATATTATTGTATAAAAAACGCACGATTGTTCAAATTTATAAAAATCAATAACTGTCAAACTTATTTTGCAAAATAATTAATTTTTGTAAATAAATAATAAAAAATTGACCGAATTCGTATATTGATCGGTTACGAAGTTTATCTGATGGCTCTTTATCTAAATTAACTTGATCAACTGATGTGAAGTGAAAAACAGCTACCTCATCATCAGCAATTACATTCTCATCTGGCCCAGCTGGTTTTGAAACATTGAAATTATTGAGAAAGGAAATGAATGAAAGTGAGTTATTGATAAACATTCAATTACTCTGATGATTACTGATGACTCTAGATTCTTGATACGTTAAAAATCGGCATAATTGAAATAATCGATTTAATTGTTATGATAATAAATACAAATCCTATTGTTACTTAAATTTTTGCCTTAGAATTCGTTATTGTATCCAAATCAGAAACAGGAGTTTTTACCGAAAATAGCGACGAAGTAAAGAGCTAAAGTTAATGAAGTGAAGAGTGGAAAAAATTAAGGGTTGTGAGGGATTTTAGTTGGGTAAACGAAATGATAAATTATGACACAATCAATCAATAAAGGAATAATTATAAAATGTATATTGTATAATCCAAAAATAAATCAATGTACAAGATGCTCGGGGCATCACTGCATGTAGTGCATGCAGACTCAACGATGGCGAAAGAATCCGATTGAATAAGAAAAGAATTTACTACGCGAATACCGATATGGCTCGAGAGATAGTTAAGGTGTTTCGTGTACTTAAATTATCGCTGGCCTGCCTCTTCGGCGACGACGGTTCCAGGTCCACCCGATATTGGTTGGCATGGTGGCAGGATGGCGAGCGACACCTTGAGCGTTGAGTTGGAGATCTTTCCAAAGGCACGATTTTGAACGTGTTCTGCTCCTTGCGAATTACGCTAGTGCGCATGTGTCGTTATCGATAAATTAGAAGTATCGACGTATCGACCTGCCACTGTGTCTTGGCTATGCCATGCTGATCTCTTGAGTCTTATGTGTGTGTTAATGTGTGTAAGTTAGTCGCGATCTCTCGAGCCAGATGCGTATCGGAGGTGTAGTTGTGTCGGGTAATATATCTGATATATTTCCGGTCACAGGGTAAAAGGTTTTTTAATCAACTATTATTCTACTTTAAACTTTTTAAGATATAGGCAGCTTCGAATTCATTTTCGAAAGCTATGTTTTATTTACACGTCTATAATATCAATTTTGATAGTAAATTAAGAGTTTTGGGTTGCCATACATTTCTAACTATTTTCTGCATGATCTTGATTCAGTTTTCTAAAAAAAAGAAGATCATAATATTGGATATCGATTAATCGTTGAATGTCATTAAGTCATTTGAAAAAAATCACTTACTCAAAGATATCTAAAATTTTGTTATAAACAAATTCAGTAGCATTGATTCCGATTTGAAAATCAAAATGAGTAAAAGAATGTCCAACATCGTATTCACCCAATTTATTAGGTACCTGATTATAAAATCTTAATACGTCTTTCGGTTGCACCACATCATCATGTTTCGAATGAAAAACTGCTACGGGGGGTTGAATTTTTGAAAGATTGTACTTGGGGGGTTCTGTGCTATTGTACATAATTAAATTTTTCTCTTTGCCATAATCAAAGTGTTGAAAATCTTTGTTATCGATCATTTGAAACCAGTGAATGAGCATTTTTGCAGATGTTCCAGCCGGAAACGAGTTTAGAAACTCTGGTATTTTATTCTATTAATTCCATAACTAATTAATATTGATATGAATTAAAAAAGATTGTGTTTGGACTACTTACACTATCGATTTGCTTTGGATCCTCACGGAGAATATTAAATATAAATTTTCGACACAACCATTGCCCCACGTAAGCTACGCGACAAAATTTATCAGATACTTGATTAGTCAATGAATTACGTCCAAAAACCTCATGAATATTAAAAGTTTCAAAAAGTATCTGAAAAAAACGAACAACTTGGATTATTTTTCCATATATTGAAAAATCCAATAGGTGTATTATGGTATTTTTTAATACCTGAACTTGTCTCCAATTTTTTGACATCGTTCTTAAGATGTTATATCTCACATGACGATCATACACCGCTGGTACGAGAAGTACTGCTGCTTTCAAATGCCTGGCCACTTCGGGTCTCTCAGTTGACATTACAGAAAAGTAAGCACCACCCATTGATATACCGACGTAAAAAAGTTCATCCTTGCCAGTTGTGTTCACAATATATTCAACAACTGATGGTACATCGTGGTAGCCAATGTCGTGCCAGCTAAAGTCCCAAAATGCGGCCTCGTCAACCGATAAAGTTTTGTGCTTTTTTGAGTATGTGTTGCCTCGAACGTTTCCGAGCCAAACGTCATAGCCGGCGTCCCAGAGAAGAAAGGCTATAATATGTCACTCAATAATAACTGAACTTGAATTTCCATAATTATATAAATGCTGAACATTACCTAAAGATCGATTTTTTCCATTGACAACCCAATCACCTGCGCTACACAGTAAGCCATGTTGAAGAAACACAGGAAAGCCAGAGGGATTAGGCAGCCTTGGCACGCTCAAGATATATCCATCCTCGGTTTCAACTGCATGAGTTTCTACTGGATAATTCTCACGTTTAATTATATCCTCCTTTCGGTCGACATAGTTCATTTACGGAAAATCGTTAATAAAAAAGAGACGAAAACGTGTTTTTATGAAGATTAAAAAAATCTAGATTTGCCTGAATGCAAGTATGCTTACGGGTGTATCGATGTGAGCGCTCCCGATGTGGTAACTCGTTGTAACGAATAAAATGAGAAATATGAATTCACGTTCCAATCGATGCTTCATTTTTTATGGAAAAAAGGAACGAACGATTTTGTCAAAGACAAGAGAACGAGTAAAACTGAAGTACGACTCACTTATTTCAGTACACAATTATTCTTTCAACTTGAAAACTTAAATTCGTCACTAGAGTAGGGATTATCTAATGTTTATACAAGGAATACTAAAAAAAATCGTAGAAGCTGATGAAAAATTTGTTACGTACTGATAACCTTTGAATTTCAAGGCCTGCCAAGTTTCGATAATGCAGTGTGACAGTGTGACGATAAATAATAAATAGTCTAGGGCAATATATAATTTTTCAGCTAAAATTAAGTTTTATTTGTTAAATACTAATTTATAAAATTGTATATTGGTACATCTAGGATACTCTGCGTTACTATCTTTGCTTCACTTTCTTCTTCTCGAATGAGAATCGTCCTGAAAAAATGTTTTTTTCTCATGAATGTATTATTTATATTAAAAAAAATAAAACAACAATAATAAAACTTATTTCTTACAGGAAAATATCGAGAATCTTTTGATAAACTAATTCCGTGGCATTGATGCCGTGTAAAAAATCTCCATGGTTAAACGAGTGGCCAACATTGTAAAGACCAAGTTTGTTAGGAATTTCATTGTAGAAACGTGTCGTATCCTGAAAAAATCGTTGACAGTAATTGAAATAAGGTTAAATTTTATATTAAACAAGAAATGAATAGATCAAATTACCTTTTCATCCGTAATTAAATCGTTATCGGAATAAAACACGGCAATTGGAGTCTCAATTTTGGTCAAGTTATACCTAGGTGGCTCGCTACTGTTGTACATCTTGAGATTCATGTCACGTCCATAGTCGAAATTTTCAAAATGATCCGTGTGCATTTGTTGCAACCAATGCACGAACAGCTTTACCGAGGTGCCATCGGGAAATTCGCTCAGATACGTTGGTAACAAATCCTGAAGAAATTCAACAAGAGTTAAAACGCGGTAAGAACTTTTTTACCTCGAATGTCAAACTCACGTAGTTCAATTGTTTGGGACTGTAGCCAAAAAGAAAGAACATGAAATTGCTGCAGGCCCATGTTCCGAGTGCAGGAATAGCGCAAATATTCTTTCTCATGACATCGAAAATAATATTCTGTCCAAAAAATTCATGGATGCGCAAAAAGCCCGCTGCGGACTGTAAATGAATATAATTTGAAACTATCCATCGACTTAGTTTTGCGCTCTCTTCTTCAATTACGAACCTTAAATTCTTTTCGAAAGCGCGACAAAGCTCGCACCAACGGTTGTTTGATATTTTTCTCATAAACAGCTGGTGCCAAACCAATGGTCGCTCTCACGTGCTTGGCCACTTCGGGCTTTTGATTTGCCATAACAGCGAATTTTGTCACGCCGAGTGAGTGACCAATGTAAAAAATTCGTTGTTTCGTCGTGTCAACGATGTGAGATATAATAGCGGGTAAGTCATATTTACCGACTTCGTGCCAGCTAAAATCCCAGAATTCGGGATCGGTGATTTTGAAGCTTTTGTGACCCTTCGAATAGCTGTTTCCTCTCGAATTGCCGATCCAAACGTCGAAGCCATGGTCCCATAAATAGTAAGCTGAGGCGCGAAATCAAAAAATTGAAAGTCAAGATGACTATATAACAGAGAAAGAAATGAGATGGGCTGAAACTTACGGAGAGATCGTCGCTTGCCTATGCCCAGCCAATTGAGTGAACTTGAAAGTATACCGTGCTGCAGGTAAACAGGGATTCCGAATTCGTTTGGAATTCGATGAACAGTTAAAAGGTAGCCATCCTCCGTTTCGATCGAGTGAGTTTCAACTGGATAATTTTCTTCCTTTATCACATCTTCCTGCATAAAGTGAGAAGTTATTTTTCATCATATGGTTATATTTCAAAGCTGGGAAAATAGCTATAATGTGTTGCTCGAAGCATAATTCTAGAAGATGATTAATTACGTACCGGTAACAATTTCGCGTGAGCATAGTTTTGTAAACAGTAGATGATCAATACCGCAAGTGTGCACGATGTACTCAATAAATTCTAAAATACACGTTACATTATTAATATGAGTTGGTCACTGGAATGTATATCAATTCTATAAGTAGTATTTATAATACAATGATTTTTACCATTATTTACTATTGTCGCTTTCCTATGCTATGTATATTTAAAATAGATGTCGAATTTTCCCCGGTTCTAATATCACGCAACATCAGTCTTTAGAATGACACTCAAATAGTCACTAAAAACACTCAACAATGCTCTATTTTTTCACTGACTAAAACACCGTGATCTCAAAACAAAGCTTGATACATTCGTACAGACGCGTCAGAGCTGAAATAATGTGACTTCAGTTTCTCATACGCGAGCTACTTAACGGGATTACAAACTTTCTTTGACATTATTAATTCGGCTTTATGTACAGCTAAAAGAGGGGGTCGGATTATACGACTTTTAGAAATTTCGAAAAAAATAATGTGACAGAGTTTTAATTACTTTTATGTCCAACGTTTCAATGAAATATTATTTTTATTTTATTAAAAATACCAAAAACATTTTATACATTTTCACAATATTTAGTGTAAAAAACAAAAATATAAATTAACTCTAACGCTTTAAATATTTCAATCTTACAAGTAAATCATTCACTATTCTTCATTATTTATAAAGGTCATTCATCATTAAAGGCTTTTTCTCCAATATTCTCGAAAGACTCGAGAGTCCTGTAAAAAGAAAAGATTATTTTATTGCCATTATTATCGTAATTATTTTTTAGCAATAACAAATAAGAAATGAAAATTCTTACGTGAACATATCAACGATATTGTAACGAATAAGCTTAGTCGCCTTAATTCTATAATCGAAGTCGACTTGATTAAAAGAAAAACCGAAAGCGGTACCGACATCGAAGAATCCTAACTTGTTTGGAACTTCCTTTTAAAATCTCATAACATCCTTTACGGAAATTTCAAAGCAACTTATTATTACTTGAGACGTAAATAAGAATTTTAAGTGAAAACTTAGTTTATTGTATATCGCGTTAAGAATTTCATTCGCACAGACCCGGTTAATTATTGAGCTCTGTAATGCATGGACAGCAACGTGCACACGTGCGCAATCATCAAACGCTCACCTCCTATGATATAAAGTCGCGTCGCCGGTGTTTTAAAGTGTGTTTATTTATAGAAGTAAGCGACGCTCAACATTCTTATACCTGAGAGAAAAAATTGTGCGTACGTGTGCGACATGAGCTTAAGTTTACCGATTGCAATTTTACCAAGAATTTGCGTATGATTATATAACAAATATATCATTGTGCATCCTTTTTTCGTTTGTATGCAGACGCGTGTAAGGATTCGCGATTCAGTTTCACATGGATCATAAAAAGAAAAAAGTCGATCATCAAATAAGACGATATTTTTTATAATTGTAGTCTGATATGGTGAACGATAGTTGCGATCGCAACAATAAAATCAACTCACTCCAGTTAATCTATCATTTTTGAATCGACTGAACAACGTGAAAAGGCATTTGGCGCCGGCATCGCTCCCCACTATTGTCGTGAAATTGGCGCGTCTCATGGTATTCGACAATCCCCATCAAAAATCTAAACCTGTGATCTGAGTGCTAAGGCTGATGCGCGGCATATCTTGATTCCGTGAGCCATCGCTTTTCTTCGCGGCGTCGCTGTTGAAAAAAGTATCGGTACACGCGGTAAAAACTCAAACTACTCGACTTGAAACAGTTTCATTAATTTTCTCACTTTATACCGACAACTAGGCTTAAGGTTATTGGTAGAAATCGTTTAAACTGAGCATTCGTGCTACGGCAGCGCGTGTTTATTTTATCTATTACATGTGCACGATTTTCGAGAAGCCGCGCCATCTCCCGACCCCGTATGTAGTGTAGTACGTCTGCTGCAATGAGTGCTATGCTCTCTCGATCCAGCATTACGGTTATAATATATTACAATACGTGATATCATATAATACTGTCGAATGTCGAAAGCAGCACTGAGACAAACCGCATCCTTAAAGCATAAGTGTGCATGCCAGTAAATAGTATAACTTGTGGCCATCGCAATGTACGAATCTTATACGGCGTCCGTATTCTGTGCCAGTTGTGTCAAAACATTGCTGTGACTTAGTGAACTCTAAGGGCTGATGTAAACCATATATATGTTTATACGGGTAGCGGTGAGTATTATTGTTTTCGGATCTGTAAAATTATTTTAAATCATGATACGTTACTGAGACACGATTGCCGTTGAAATTTCAACTTTCGAAAATCATCTTATTCGTCTGAAAATTATTTACTGTGCCTGTGCATTTATGTTTTTATAAAAAAAATGCGAAAAATATGTACATCTTCTGCCTAAATTGGACGGGGCTGTTGCTTTAAAATATTCTTCTAGGCAATCGGCGCGAATTAACTTCGTTTAATGTGGATATTTCCGAAATCAAATTTTATGTTTACAAATGTACGTTGCGACAAGTTGAAATTTATCAAGCACTCGAACATAACCAAAAAACCGAGTTAGTTCATTTATTATGAAAATTTCGACTTCTGTTTCCTGAATACTTTTTTTTCACGGGGTAATAATTTATCTACAATTTATTTATACTTCAAAATTTATTTCTCCCAAGAATTTACTATAATTAATGTCAACTATTTCGTGTAGAAACTTTTGATTGCTTTAAGTTTAAAAAATTACTTCTAATTTTACTAAGCATTTTATTTACTATTTATAAAAATTTTAAATAACAATTTTTTATGAGTTTCAGATTCATATCTACATGTACAATTTGTGATTTCACTGATTTCAAATAGATTCATTATTATCTATGAGTATCTGTGGCAGTTCTGCTAGTACCAAAGTAAAAAATTCTAATAATTCAGATACAAAAAACGAAATTATTGTATCTGAGCATTTAGAAGTTCAAGAGCCAAAAGAAAAGGAACTTTCTAAAAATTTAGAAATTATTAAAACACCAAAAACTACAGTCTTCATTTGCCAGAAAGGATCTCGAGTGTCATCTGATCATAGTTTCTCAAAGTTTAAATTTAGGTAAATTAAGTAACTATGTATAAAAAAATTTTAAAAAGGTAATTTTTTTTTTTTTTTTTTGAGCCTTGAATAAGGAAATTTAGACAGATATCATCAGCATTTTAACAATATTTAATGAACACTTGTTTTAGGGGTGAATCACGAAATGATTTACAAATGGCTCGAGGAGGAAACAGTGGAACTCGTGGTCGAGGTAGTGGTCACAGAGGAAGAGGTTTCAAACGAGTTCATTCCAATGTTGGTGACAGAGATGGACGTGGAGACAGATCTAAATTTCACGAGTCAGTAAAAAATCATGATAATAGATATGATGATAAAAGAACTGTTGGTAAGTTTAATAGAACTTGTTTATATCACTTTTAATTGTTTGAATGCTTGTTTTTTTTTTCATTCTTCAGAATGCAAGTTTATTTTTTAAATGGTCTAAAAATCTTATTCAAAACAATATCAAAATCGACCTCTTCAAAAACTATCACAAAGTTGAGCTTATTAATAGTATCATTATAAAGATACAATACATTTTGCTTTAAAAAACTGTTAAACATAAACGTTTTGAAATTACTGTGAGAAAAATGTTTAGTATGAAATTTCCTAATTAATGTTTTCTTGCAGTCTTGAGCACTGTTTTTGTAAACCAATTCTGAAAAAGTTCTGATATCTGTAGTTATATTATCAATTAGATTTAAGAATCGTTGATACTTGAAAAAAAATTTTAGTTGTAGCAGCAGTAATTTTTTATAGTATAAAAAGCATTCAATCACTATTTTATTATTCCTTTTTTTATTGCAGAAGATTCTAAAATTTCCACGTTGTTGAGGCGTTTAGCTCGTGAAGACAACTATGATAATATTTGGAGTTTATGTACACATCTACAAGAATCAATTCAAGCTCCTGAAAATCAAAAATATGTTAAAAGAACTCTGGACAATATTTGTGATAGTTTGTTAGAATTGCTTTATACTTGTCCTGATTCAAATATCAAGCAAGAAGTTAGCCATTGTATAGGTCTGGTTGGCTATGTGAGTGAATATGAATTCAAACGCTACTTAGATTGGATTTTTAAGAAAATATCTAAAGAACAAAAAAATGAAGTCAAATGCTCCATAATGGAAGCTTTCATTGAAACCTTAGAAGCTAATCGAATTAAACCTAAACTCAAGGATAATTCTGCAACAATTATGCCCAAATTACTTTCTGTGCTTGAGATGGTAGAAACTCCTGAACTTCTCATTGTTACTTGTAATGCCATTCTAGAAGTGGTTGACCAGTATCCAGACTGCTTTGAACAATTTTTTCATGATATAGTTGATATCCTAATAGGTTGGCATATTGATACAAGTACCTCGATCGAGATAGTTCAATTTTCTAGTGAAACTTTACAACAACTAAAAAGATATTGGCTAGCAGATACTAACTTTACAGAAAATTTATTACATCAATTTTTTGAAGACATTCAAAATTACAGAGATGAAATGCTGTCACTTCAAACGGATAGTACTACCCTTGATGGAGAGCAATTAACAGATAAAGCAGTTAGTAAAGAGCTTAAAGAAAACACTAAAAAAATGACTAGTGTTTTATCAGTGGTTAATACGGTTCTTAAATGCGTTGAAGAGAATTTTAATGCCATGAAAACACAATGGTCTTCTCCACATTCACGAATTCTCCTTGATCGTTTGGTTTTAATGCTTGAAACGGTTATCAAAGCTCTGCAACTTGAAGATGATAAGAATAATCCAGAATTTACATTAATTGATCCTAGTAAAGAAAATATTTCCGTTTTAGAGCATCAAATGAAACTTTTGAATATTTCTGATGGGACTATCGAAAAAACAGTTAGTCAACTTAAAAAAAAGGCAAAAATTGATCATAAAGATGTTATAAAAATAATAGAAATTTCAAAAGTTAAAAAGATCGAGAGAAAACGTTTGAAACAAGATAGTAGTCTGCATTCTATTTCAAAAGAAGAAGAGAGCAAAATTTTGGAATTGATTAAATCATTAAATTCGCTCACAATTGTTCAAAATTTATCCAAAGAAAAAGAGCGTTTAGCAGTTGTTGCAAATGAGTGCGTATGTCATTTACTGGTGTATGTAAAATATGAACCTGAATTTGCAACAACATTAGACTTATTGCTTACTTATATCTTGTTACAACTAGAACAAATTGAAACATGCTGGGACGATGGAAGGGTTTCAGCTTTTGAGCTAATTAACAAAATAATTCAAGAATTACCTCTAAAATTAGAAAATTCATTTGTTGATTTACTTCTTTCAAGTACATCAGTTATTTCAAAGCTACGTTTTAGTTCAAATAAAAAAATTAATAAAGAAATTGTAAAAATCTACAGTAACTTGCTCAGCTCGACAAATATTATGTTATCTCAAACCAGTTATAATTACATCTTGGGAGACATGGAAAATGCTTACAATACCCTTATTCCAAATTTTGGAACTCTGGTAGCCAATAATCCTTTGAAGGATCATACATACTCACGGGAAGATGCTAAACATGTGTTGCAGTTTTCATTGCAAGTTCTCACAAAATTAACAACAAAAAAAATATCCAATGAAGGTGTCGAAAGTTTGCAGCCAAACATTTTATATGCAATTTTAGAACTACAACCACAAAATTCAGTACTATCAAAAATATCTAAGGTTATTCATTACGATTTATTCGTATTAATATCCTCTCTCTGTAAGACCAATGTTTACCAATTACCAGCAGAAATTAGAAATTCATCAGTCGAAATAGAACTTTTGAATGAATACGATATCACACAATTAACTGCTGTTAAAAACTTGAAAATTACACTTGATTTAATTGGTGAAGTTATGCAAGATAAAAGTATAGAGAGCAAGGTGCTTGATATAGTTTTCGATTGGGCTTATAATATTTTAGCGTCAAAATCGCGATTATTATTTTCACTTACCTCAGAAGACGAGTGCGTTAAAAAATTCTTCAACAGTGTTGTCGATAGAGCATACTACTCAATGAACCACAAAAAATCATCCAAAATTTGCGATCTTTTTCGTATCGTTCTCACCGATAAAGTGTTTAACTCTTTCATTGAGGAAGGTGAGATCTATAACAAAATTGTGGATTTGATCATCATGAAATGCCATTCCGGTCATCAGGAAAAGAAACAGTTTGTGGAATTGTTGAAGCTTATATCTCCGCATCGTGTATTTTTGCGGATGAAAAATTACGTCTCTTTGAAGAATAAAAGAATATCGAAGAGTACGATCGGTGATCACAATGTTAACGCATATTTAAGTGCTCAAAAACTTCTTCGTTACACCAAGCCTACTATGACCAAGCAACAATTCAAGTCATTCATGAATTATATTTTGCCGTTGAATCAGTTTGAACCTAAGGGAGTCTGCGAGATATTTGCAACATGCTGGCCAATTGTAGCGGACACCAAGATACTGGCTGAGCTTGGCAGCTTTACTTTAGGAAATTCGTCGCTCATGCTGCACTGGGCGATGAACGAAGCAGCCCAGCACTGTATCTCTAATAAGTTGCGTACTGTACTTGGTAAGCCACAGGACACTTTTATGAATTTCGAGTGCGCACTCAAGGACTTGGCTCGAGAAATCAGCTGCCCCAGAAAATCTTTGACCGGATGTCAAACAATCACGGACCTCGAGGCCGTTTTAAAGGAGCAGAAGCGGGTGCGCGTGCTGGTGGAATTCTTCGAACACCTTGAGAAAGCTCTGCACAACGCAACCGAAGGATGCGCTGTCTCGTTACCACAGGCTGCAAAACCCGTCCAATCTTTCTTTCGCACCAACGCCTTGACCTGTCGCGAGTGGTTGAAGCGGGTGCGCCTGGCCCTGTGCGTGGTTTCGCTTCACGCCGGCCTCGCAACGCAAGCGCTCCGTAATGGTTTGCGCGTCTTGGAAGATCTAAGCGTTACGGCTGAGAGCAACACTGCCGAATTCGAGCGGGCCGTCGTCTGTGTCGCGCGCGCTCTGGTCATGCTACGCGAACCCGAAGCCTTGCAAGGATTAGTATCATTCGTTCAGAAAAATAATCGTCAATTCTCATGGCTGCAAGCTGCCGTAGAAGATGCAGCCGGTAGATATGAGGCTGGAGCCGTTATTTACAAGTCCGTATTGGAGACGGAGATTCTCAAATGCAGTGGGGAAGAGAATCCAGAAGTTAAGAACCTCACTGACTCGCAAGTTTCGTCGTTCTGCTTGGAACGAATAAGTAAGTGTTATTTGTCTCTCAATGATTTCTGCAGCTTGAATTGTTGGAAGCAGAAGGAAGCAGCTTTACTCGCCGATCCTTACAATTGGAACGTCGCTACACCTAGCGTCTCGGAATCCCAAGCAGCAGCTTTATACGAGTTTGATCAGGCATGCATTATTCCTTTGATAAATTTGAGCGAGTGGACTATGCTGGATCGCAGGAGAAAAACCAATTGGAGCGTCGCCGAAGTCCATAGCCAGTGTGAGAATACCTTGACAAATGTAGCTTTCAAAGCTTATTGCAGTGACCGCGTAGATGATAGTGACATAGAAAAAGTTAAACAGTGTCAAACCATTGCTGCTTTTACGATGTCGGAATGTTTGAGAAACGTCCCGGCTGAGTTTCTCGAAGAAGCTACTATAATGCTTTGCGCTTCCTCAAATTTGTTGGACGTTTTCGATTTCAATGGCAAACGCAGTAAACACGGTGCTGAGGTACCTCAGCTTTCACAGTGGGACAATTGGGACAAATTGAATCAAGAGTTTAATTCAGCATCCTTGAATCGCTTCCTGTGGTGGACTAATTATATCTACCAGTTCACTCCGAAAGAATCCGACGTTTATGTTGATAAAATGAGCAAAATGCGCCTGCAGATCATTAAAAGTGCTCGCTTAGAAGGTAATTATCAACTTGCGAAACGTGAACTGGCGCGCTTTTTTGCCGTTCGTCACATTGGTGAAATTGTTCAAAACGTATCAACTCATTATCTTCCCGAAAAATACCGAATTTCTGGCATGATCGAGGCTGCAAAATTATTAACCGCTCTGGACAAGAAAAACGATGCCCTGAAGGTCATCAGTTATACAGCGACACAAACACTCATGACTACTATAGACTTTTACAAGTACTCCAGTGAAAATGAAAGAGCCAACGACGAATCTTGGAAATCACTCAACTCCAACGTTTTGTTGGTGCTGTCCGATTTAATTCGAAGCGATGCCGACGTTGTAAACTGTGAGCAGCTTCAAGAATTTATGGTGCTGGAGGGTGAATATGGAGACGGATCGATAAATATGTTGCTGAACAACACAAACGAAAACATACCAGTGACCGAGGTGACTTATGGCAAAGTAATGCGCCTCGGCGCTAAGCTTGATCCAAATGTGGCAAAAATTCAGTCGAACCTCGCCAGCTTTTGTTACGGCTGGGGTCGTAAAATTGTCGACAATCCAAGCCACGACATGCTTTTCGATGACGACAAACAGCTTATCCAAGATCTACTTCCTATCGAAGCCACCAAAGAAGAGATCGAGAGCGTGATTGCTATTTTGAACAAGAGCAATCACTTGAGCGTGCTCGAACGCGAAGAAGAAGGCGACATCAACAGCAGTAATTTCGAAGCCATTGACAACATAGAGAACTCGCTGCGAAGTCTGCCGATACTAAGCGACGCCAATTGTGAGAGTCTGTCGCCTTTTATCGAAATCTGGGAAAAAGCTAAAGTCCGCAAGTACAAGTTTTACGAGATGGCCTGCGAAGCCTATTTCAAATTCTTACAGTTAAACTCAGACTCGAACACCGTTGGAAACATCACCGCAACGCTTCGTCTCTTGCGATTGATGGTCAAACATGCTACAGAGCTACAATCAGTACTCGAAGAAGGCCTCTCGATAACTGCAACCAAACCCTGGAAAGCCATCATTCCGCAATTGTTTTCGCGCTTGACTCACCCTGAGTGCTACGTGCGACAGCGAGTATCTGAATTGTTGCGCCGAGTGGCCGAGAATTCTCCTCATCTCATTACGTTTCCCGCAGTGGTTGGCACCATATCCTGCAGTAAACCGAGCAAATATCAGGGTTACGACAGCGACGACAGCCAAGAGGGAGATTTCATCGAGGAAGAAGATAATGACGCCTCGAATGGATTTATGAACGAGTGTTTCACGCAAATGACCGACTGTTTGAGCAAAAGCCTGCCCGAATCAATTCAGCAGGTTCGAATTTTGGTCAAAGAACTGAGAAGAATAACACTACTGTGGGATGAATTGTGGCTAGCCACGTTTACTCAGCATCATGCAGATTTTTACAAACGTTTTGAACAGCTCGAGCAAGAGATCCAAAAAGTCCAGGAAAACACTTGGCTCAGTGGAGAGGCTAAAGAACATCTAATTGCTGAAAAATATCGCATTATTGTCAAGCCGATAATCTTCGTACTCGAAGAATTGTACGCTGTAACAACTGCAACTGCTGAAACGCCTCACGAAGTTAGCTTCCAGGAAAAATATAACCCAGTAATGGAAAAACTCATTGAAAGATTGAAGAATCCAAAGAACCCGGCGAAACCGCACGGTTCGATGATGCAGTTGAAATCGCTTGAGAATATGCTCGGTCAAAGATATCAAAAGCGAAACTTGTATTCGCTGTCGATGGCAAAAATAAGTCCAATCTTAGCCACGATGAAAGATACATGCATTACGATGCCAGGAATAATTTCTAACAGAGAAATTACGATTAAGTCGGTAGAAGACCTCGTCTCCGTTTTACCCACAAAAACGAAGCCCAAAAAACTCATCTTCAAAGGATCAGATGGACAGAGTTATACCTACCTTTTCAAGGGCCTGGAAGATCTACACTTGGACGAGCGCATAATGCAATTCTTGAGTGTATGTAACACAATGATGTCTTCTACCAATGATGGAGGCCTTTACCGTGCTCGTCACTATTCGGTCGTGCCTCTTGGACCCCGCTCGGGGTTGATTCAGTGGGTCGACGGTGTGACGCCCATGTTCTCTTTATACAAGCGATGGCAGCAGCGAGAAGTGGCTCTCAAACAAACTCCTATCCAACGACCTACCGAGCTTTTCCATAAGAAACTCGCTCCTCTTTTACAAGAACGAAATATTTCCATAGAAAACAGAAAAGAATGGCCAGCTGGAGTCTTGAAGCAAGTCTTGACGGAGCTCATCAACGAGACTCCCAAGGATTTGCTAGCTAACGAAATTTTATGCAACAGCAGCAATGCCGGAGGCTGGTGGCAAGCGACCAAAAATTACACCTACTCTATGGCCGTAATGTCTGTCATCGGTTACATCATCGGACTCGGTGATCGACATCTTGACAACATTCTTATTGATTTGAACACCGGGGAAGTCGTACACATCGATTATAACATTTGCTTCGAGAGAGGAAAAAGTCTGCGGATTCCCGAAAAGGTGCCATTCAGATTGACTCAAAATATCAAAGCGGCTTTGGGCCCCACGGGTTTGGAGGTGAGTTTATCAATTCATTTTCGTTTTTATTATTTACAATACACATCATACGTTATTCATGAAAATTTAAATTATGAGTATTCATATTAAGTACAAATGATACAATGATCGATCGATCATACTTGACACTATACAATTTCACAAATTTTCCGTCGATAACATCGGGTCGTGCTCTATCGCTGTTTTGTGGTTTTTAACCGCGTCTTTTAATAACCGTTCAGGGCCATTTTTCACATCTCTCTGCACTAGTTCGTCTTGTTTTCTTAAGTAATGCTGAAAACTGGAGTTAAATTGATTGTAATCGGGCGAACGACACCGCATTAATTTTTTAAAAGCCTTGCGGAAAGCTCGATTTTTCCAAGCATAGATAATGGGATTAACGGCGCTGTTCAACATTGCCATGGAAAACATGACGCGGTATATCGTTGGGCTCGGTTGTTGATCGACATCAATCACGTGAACCAAAGCTACGACCACGTAGGGTAACCAAAAAATTGTAAAACATCCAAGAATAGGAAGCACAACCTGGATACTCTTCTTTTGGCTAGAGTCGCGGTCGAGATCGTTGGCTCCGGTGAGTTTCCATCGACGCGCATGTATCCTCGCCTCTCGCCATATTCTCAGATAAAGAACGAATATGCTCAACCAAACGGTAACGAACAGTGGTGTGAGAATGGCGATCATGTATAATCTGAAATCATTCGAACGGTTGGCAAATTTACTTTTTTCTAAGCCAATTTTTCTAAGACCGATAAAAAATACCTCGGAAATACTGTATAAAGTTCGCAGACGTTGGAACTGTCATAGATATTCCAGTAGATCGGAATAGTCGAAACGAAGGCCGAGCACGCCCATATTATCGTTATCGCCACTGTAAATAATCTCTCCCTTGCATACTCGCTGTATTTCAGTGGGTGTATTATAGCTAAATAGCGATCAAAGGCAATCGCTGTAACATTGCAAAAACTCGCGCAGCAACAGAACGCCGGGAACACGAATCTGCAACAAATTTCATTTTAATGCTGTCGAATAAAGAATTTCGTGAATTTGTTCACCTCGGTATGCACGAGTACTTGTAGCAGGCTAGTCTCGCGTCGAGAAAAAATAGGAGGTGATAGATCACGGCGAGGCCTACCAACAGGTCCGATACGGCGAGGCTCAAAATCAGCCGATTCGATTGTGGATTGCGCAGTCTTCGGCTCAATCTGACCGCTAGAATCGTTAAGACGTTTCCAAGAATAATAACGGTGATGACGACTGCGTCGACAGCGATCCAACAGCTCGAACACAGTGGTGACGATGGTCTGAAATAAAATAAAATAATGTAGAGTCATGCTTCATATTCAATGTAATCTTAAGGAAGGAAAGATCCACGCGAGAGCTGTAACGAAATTAATTTGATCAAAAGTAGGAAAAAATATTAATAGTGCGTGCACGTGCAGTTGTCTCGTTGCGAGTGCCATCGCTGCAGTGGCCTTGGCATGTAAAAAGAAAAAAAAGACCCGCTGCACTTGACTGTTCAATGACTCGGATAAATATCTCAAAAGTAGCGAGCATCGCGAGAGAGAACGTCGAGAGATAATCGAGTTTGTTACAATATTAAGCGTCGTTGGTTTTGTGATTATGCATCGCATAAAATTACATCATGGCAAAATGTTCCGTAAAGCATCGAAATTAAAGAATTCTAAAAGAAATGATACAAGTAATGAAATGAACCAGAAGCGCGCATTCGCGTAATCGCCACACCACGATTATTCGCTTATGCTATGCAGTAGATAAAATTTGACTCACGCTTCGGAAGTAGCAATCGACTCGTCTGTCGCAAAATTACCGGTCACGACGAGCCTCATAATTTTTTCTCGTGCGATGCGTAAGATCGATCGACGAGTGCCATCGTTGACGCGTCGACGCGTGTTAAATGTGCACTGATGCTGCTGTTGCGGCCGAAATGATACTGACTCGACTTGTATTGCGTGTACGCGCGATCTACATCATCATTATTATGAGTCTAACACCGATCGATGTAAAGCTCGAAAACTTTTTACGGGCGCGACTTTGGGGACACGCTTCGCATTTACAAATTATCTGATGTGATTTTTGTTGTTACGTCACTCGCGTTATCTGTAGTCGATAGTATGTAAAATCGACAGGTGCGAGACGTATCCTACAGTCGCTTTTATTTATTATCTATATATATAAATTAATACATAATTCCATGGTTTTTTGATGATTTTAGGGCATGTTCCGTCACGCGTGCGAGCACACATTGTCGCAGATGCGTCAAGGCCGAGAGACCCTCTTGACACTCCTCGAAGCTTTCGTGTACGACCCGTTGGTCGACTGGCGTTCGGGCTCTGACACCAGCATCCTAAGCTACGCAGCGGCCGGTAAAGCTCGTTCCCGTGCCAACGGCACGACTCGCAAGAAGCTCGAGATCGAGCTCACTCACGCCATGTTCAAGGTACGCGTGTGCGAGATGCGCATTGAATGGCTAAATAACAAGGACGAAGTCACGAAAATTTTCCCGGCTTTGATCTCGGTATTGGCAACTTGGATCGAGACTTACAATGTCAACAAACAGTGGCAGAACACAATACAAGAGCGATACATGCAGCTAGACCTCGTACAAGAGGCTCAAAATGCCAAACCTGGCAAGGAGCCCCACCCTCTCTTCACGCTGCTCAAGAGATACGATAATTTTAAAACAGCTATGGACTCCAAGGAATTGGCTATGCATAATATGCGAGAATTGCAGAATCTCTACCAGAAACAGATAAAGAGTCACCGAGTGAGTATTCCTCAATTTTTTTGAATATTTTAATGATTTTTAATAACGAATTGGATACTTGACAATTAATTTTTCTTTCCCTATCTTCTCAGGATGCGATAAAAACTATCAACAAATTAGCACTGGAGCTAGCTTCCGTAGAGTTGAGAAAATTAGAAGATGAAATAATTCCTAATATTTTTGATCAGATTGAAGAATTTTTACACAACGCTGGCCAGAGTCAGATGATCCATCAGTGTCAGCAGTCCGAGTTGGAACTTGTGGCTGTGTCACAACAATTGATGGGAGTTTTACATTCCATCATCGATGATCTTAATCACTACTCGTCGGTCATAACAAATTATCCAGTTCAAATCATCAAGGAGCACCGGACAGTGGTGCACAAGAATTGGGCAAGTAAATTGTTGTCATTACCCTCAGTGAGCACTTGCGAATTAATCGAACAAGAAGCTTCGTATCTTTATCGTCCTCCTAGCCGTGACGATATTGTAACTAAAACCGTGGTCGAATTTTCTACTCAAATCAAGGAATTGATTGATGAAATTGAACAAAAGCATGTTTACGTTAAGCGACCATCTCCCATAAAAAATTTAAGCTTTGAAAAGTTACAGAAGAATTATGAAGTTGCGAGAGATGAAGCGATTAAGTACCGCGAGAGTTATGACGTTTGCAACCGAAGTTTTGAGAGTGCTTTGCTCATGACTTTCGCTGAATTAAATTTACAGTTCTTGAAATCGGAAGTTGATGTTAAATATGCCAAGTGTTTGGTTAATCACTCTATCTCAGGCAACGATTGGTTCGTATATCAGTTGAGTCACGATGCTTCGTATGTGTACCACTTGATAACGCTTGTGAAGATCGATCCTCTTTTGGATCGCCACATCGAGTGTCTCAAAAATGTCAAGACAATGTATCAACTTTTGCAAGATTTTCTGCCCCGTTTCTACGTCGAACTACTGCCAATGACTGCCAATTTTATTCCATCCGCCGATTCAAGTTTCTTAAAAATGATGGATGATGTTGATAATTATTTTAATGAAATTAATATACCATGCACCGATCTGTTGCAAAAATTAGAAGAGCATTTATATTTCACTATCAAACAAACGAGTAGTCCTCACTCCGACGTGTACGAACAGGTTCTCGCAATGCGTGTTAAATTTGAGAATTCGTTGATTGTAGAAAATGTTCCCGAATTTCTTGTCAAGTTTAATAATCTATTTGTACATTTGGATGCAGAAAAGGAAAATCTTGTTGAAGCATTCCATTCTATCCCAACAATTCCGAAAAGTTGGGGTAAAATAGATAGCCTAGACAGAGCTGAAGATATGGCCCCTGTGCAACTTGGAAAAGAAGCTCGCAACGTTCTTAATAACATATTTTTTGTAAAACGCATAAAAACAATGATGGACGTTTTTGACATATTTCGTCATCAGATGAAATTATTCCAAGGCATAGATCTTCAACCCGAATCAGTGAGGCGCTACTTCTTGGGCGATAACATCACGGCACCAATAAGATCTTTTATTGGCGACTTTGTCAAACGCTTTGTATTGGGCACACTAACTGTGTGCTTGAGTGTGGTCATCAGTAGCTTACTTTTGAGGCAAAATTCACTGAAAGTAGAGCAAGAGATCAAAGCTCAATGGGAATTATTGGGTCCTGATGGAAAATTATCTCTCGTATATCTTTGCAACTATGTACACGATTTGATTAATCATCTTCCAACGGACGAGCGCGAAATAGAATTACAACAGCGAGCGATCAGTCGAGCTCATCTAGTAAAACTCAAACAGCATTTTCTGGAAAGGATAGTAGAAATCACTGCCACATCATGGAAGAGAGTAATGAAAACCAAATGGAACGTAATGAAAAAAATTATGACCATCCATTACTTCATGCACGAAGATCATTTGCGGTTATATAAAATCACACCGCCCGAGTTCAATCGTACAGATTTTATCAATGCGCTGCGTTCAAAAGTCAATGACGTATCCAGCATCGCTGTCAAGTTGGACAAAGCTGGCGACCAGCTGTATCAGTTCATACAGCAGTCAGTGCAAAGACTCAAATGGGCTGCAGGGGCTAATCCAGACGTAAATAATATTATTAGTCTCTTCGATAAAACGGTGAAAAATAGCAACGAAAAGATGCTTCAACTGAAGAAAATTTCAGTTGCGGCAACGACAAGAAGCAATATAATTTTACAATTCGAGTCATTGAGATCGATCAATCAGCCTGATACCATTGCGACTCACGTAACTTTCATGGACGTTTTAATGAAGTTCAAAAAGAGTTGCATGTTGATTGAAAATCTGGATGTCACTGTGACCCCGCTTGAAGTAAGCCTTGTAGAACTGTTACAACTCGGAGCTAACGAGCAAAAGGACATCGATGTGGCTTGGCTACGACAAACCGAACATCTACTTTCCGCGGGTATTGTTGAAATCAAGAAAAATAGTCAAGAATGCGTCGAGAATTTAACATCAGCCGAATTATCGCTCAAAGAAAAATTGGTGTCTTTGCAAAATGCAATGGCTGATCACCATCGTCTGATTAATGATGTGAGACTACTACTCAAAAGAATGTCCAAACAAGAGACAATGCCTGGATTGAACGATTTTCTGCAAAAGTATCGCAGCTACACGGAAAAATTATCAACTAGCATCAAGGATCTAGACTTGCAAAAAATCAACTCGGAATCGGCGTCTGCATTGAAAGCTGATTTTGAGGACTTAAACGCCGTCGTACCACAGCTTTACGATGAGTTACTGCAATTTGCTGACTTGGCCAACGAAACAACGGAAACGCAGCCCAACAAGCCGAAACTTGTGCGGCAAGACAGCGTGTACTTCAGTCCGCGGCGAGGTGTGCCCGCGATTAATCCAGCAACTGGTAAGGCGACTCAGCAACAGAACACTTACGCCCTGAGCGTGTGGCGCAGGATTCGTGCTAAATTGGATGGCCGCGATCCAAACCCTGCGCGTAAGGTTACGGTATCCGAACAAATTGAATACATCATTCGCGAGGCCCTGTCGATTGATAATTTATCCCAGTTGTATGAGGGCTGGACACCCTGGGTTTGAGCTACTATATGAAGGCGTTAGCTCGCGCTGCGCCGAAATGGGATCTCAAGTCTTCGTCAATGAACATCAACATTTAATAAATGCAGTCTATCTCGTCTTTTTCTGCCGTCTTGTTGCCGAATAATGTATCTTCAAATGTAACTCGAGCACAGGAGAGCTAACAAAAAATCCATAATTACTTCAATTATTGTTGACCTGTCTCTCTGTGTTCAACAAAGAGTACCAATGGAGAGAAAAGGAACGACGCACGACGAGTAACTTAACAAAGTACATTTACCACGCTAAAAAGTACATCTTAACTTGCGAGAGTTGAAATTCTTTCCTCTTTTAAAGATGGACGAATATCAGCTGCTCAATAAAATATTTGAAGAAAAAAAATGACAAAAAAAGAGATAGAAAACTTAAGCTCTGAGGATGATAATACTGATATATGATGATACGGAATTATGATTTCGACGACGACATAAAATAGCCGAGCACGACGCGCGGATTTCGAATCTTTAGTGATCCGTCAGTTTTCTAACACTTCATTTTTCGTTATTGGCCATGTTGATTCATTGATTATTTGATTTTGAACTTGATTATCTACTTAACCTATTGAAAAAATGAATCAGTTTACTCGAGAATATATAAAGGTAATATTTATCAATCAAGACTAATCGCAAAGGAAAAAATGGCTAATTAGTTTGTCGGCCGGCTTTAAATTTAGAGCTACAAAAAAAATTTTTTTAAATGGTTTACAGGCAAATAGTATATGGGTTCATTAAACTTTACAAGAAACCATGTATGTAATGATCATTAAGTTTAAATTAGATACATATTTTTCGTTGCAAAATTTGATCGAAAAAAATTAATTCAATACTGTATGTAATAGAATTATATTAAAAAAATTTTATTTACTTAAAAGAGATGATTCACAATCATATATCACTAAAATATATCTCTAGTAATTTTATGGTGAAATTTTATTTATGCGTAATTGGTGACACGTTCTTTTCTTTTCTGAGCAAAAACAAATTCAATTAATTTTGTTGTTGTTGATAATTATTGTATCAAGAGTAAATAAATTCGTCTTATTATAAATTTTTTTCATATTCAATTTCTACAGTTGTAATAGATTTTTAAATGAAAAAAATGTTACACAGAAAACGTGTTACTCACTTAAGTTCTTTTTATTTATATTTCAGTTTAATAAGAATGAAAAATTTTATTTTTGCCTGATGTAACACTTAGATATGTAATTTAATTATTGGTTATTGTGCAAACATGTATTACCGAAATTTGTAATAATGGATATTTAATATTTAATAAACTAAAATCGCAATAAATAAATGTCTGTATTTCATAAAAATTAATACCCTTTAAACATTTCAGGATTAGAAATTTAATACATTTTTTTCTTTGTAAGGTTTGTATTGAAAAATTATTTTTTAATTAATATACAAATTTTGATCTTTATATAATAGTATAACATTGAAATTCTTTAAAAAAAAAATTGTATATCTAATTGAAAGGTAATATTTTTTACTTTTATACACAAAATAAATTATAATTCGATTCACGACAATGAAGCAAGATCACAGTAACATATAACTCAAAAGTCATTAAATAAAAGTTCTACATGAATAATATAGATCCATTTTTAACAAAAATTAATAACAGTCAACAAAACAATACATTGGTACATTTCTCAAAGAGATATTTCAATAGCAACAAGTAATTTAAAAAATTAGGCGAGTTAATATTTATACAAATTTTTTTTTGAAACGTATGAATATTATCCTAATTCATAGATTTGTTTTCAATAGTATTTGTAAAAATCTTAATGCACGTTTTATTTTGTAAGCCGATAACTAGCTAAAATTCTTATATAGATATATATTTTTTTTTAATGTTTTTGCGTTAAATTTCTGTAAAATACTAAAAACTATAATACCGCACGATCACATGAAATATACAATGTTTAATTTCAAGTTTTTTACATGCTTACAATACACACTTTTTAATATAGACACTTTCTCATTTATGCGCACCGTAACACACATAATTCACTCTTAAAGCTTTTTTTCACGATAAATTCAAAGATCTCGTTTCAGCAACTGATCGATTTGAGTTTTGTACATATCTTTGACATCTTCAAGATCCAGCCTAAGCTCTTCATTTTCCTCTACTTTTTCACCATACATTTGAAGTAATGCATCATATTTAGTTTGCACATCTTTAAGATTCTCTTTTATTCGATCTAAATCAACAACCTTTTGTTGAAGATTTTCAACTTGAAGACTCAATTTTGACAATTCAGTGGAAAGGGCATCACGCTCTGTTGTTCGTCTTGAAAGATCCCATTGCAGTTGATGTACTTCTCCTGATAAAATAAAAATCATGTAACAGATAATATTAAACTGTTGATCCTTGATTCATCGATATTACTATTTTCATTGATGTACCTACCTTCTCTTTGTTTTAGTTGCGCTTGAAAATTTTCCAACATAGATGTACTATTCGATCCTGTTCTGTAACTATCGTATACATTAGAGAATCTGCCAGAACCACTTTCGAAAACTGAATCGTTGACCTGAAAAAATTTTGTTAGTATTTCTCAATATGTCATCATTTAAATAGTTAAATTAAATAAATAGACTTACAGTTGGCCATACACTGCTTGTACTACACACCGAGTCTCTTCCTATGCTTAAGGTTGGACTGAATCGTAGCTCTTCGACGCTCGCGTTGTACTCAATAGCGGCAACTTTACGTTTTTCAGCGTCTGTCGCGGCTTTTTCAACCGATAATTTGTTTTCCAAGGAGCTGACTTCACGTTTTAGTTCTTTAATTTCAACTGCGTGCGCATCTTCCAGCATTTTCATTGCTTGCTTATGACTGAAAAAGTTTAGTGTGAATATAATTTCAAACGATGGAATAATTATATAAAAATAAAATAAATAATAAATAAAACCAACACTTTATTTTCCTCTGCGAGTTGATCACTTTCTTTTTTTATTCCTTCGATAGTTTCCTCTAATTTTCTTCTCTCAATTTCTTTGCTGTTCAATTTAGTTTCGAGAACTGAACATTTTGATTTAAGATTCGTACATTCTTCAGACAACGACCGATTCGTCTCCATGATATTTTCCAATTTTACCTCTAATTCGTTTATTCTTTCGGTCATTGATTCTTCCTGTTTCATGTACAAATTTGTTTTGTGCGTTAAACTAGATTGAAGTTGTTCAATTTGGCGGAGCAAAGGACGAGTCGTTTGAGCCAAAGATTCAGCCATATCCTCGCTTCGTGATTCCGCGCCTTCTAAGCGCCTCAGAATTTCTTGCTTCTCTTGACGATGTAATTCTTCTGTCCTAAAATAATTCAATGATAAAAATAATACATGCCTATTTGATCATTTTAATGACAAAATTAATAATTACTTGACGTTTTCCTCTTCCATTTCACGTATTTTTTTTTTCAATTCAACAATTTGAAGTTCGCGTTCATTTGATTCATCAGCATTTTCCAGTGCAAGCTTAAGATGTTCCTCTTTTTCTTTTAATTTTTCTTTCGTTTCCAACAAATCCCTAAGGAAAGTCAAATTATTTATTAACACGTATACAAACTGTAATTGCTCGTAAAACTTACGATTTTGCGGCTTCGAAGCTTCTCTTATATGCCTCCATTTTATTCGTAACATGATCTAAATTTTCGTTCAAGATCAAAATGTCCTTTTCCTGCTTCTTACACTTGGCCGTGAGTGTGTGCACAGCTTCAATCTGACTTCTTTCAACTTCTTCTTTGGCGTATAACGATCGTTTTAGCCGCTCTAATTCAGTAGTTTTTTCTTCCAATTGCTCACTGAAAATCAAATAAATTCAAATTCATGCTTCAATAATATTTTCCGATTCAATATACATACCTCTGACTTTTAATTAAGGCGTCGCTCTCCTTTTCTTTGGCTCGAAGCTTTTTTATGATGTTGCTATGAGTCAACTGTTGCTTGCTCAGTTTTTCACCTTCTTCTCTCAGTTCTCGAATCATCTCATCTTTTTCAGCGTTGATACTGGACATCTCATTAGCCGACAGTCTCGAAGCTGCCTCCTGTTTTGTGATTTCTAAGCTCTTGCGCAAACTGTCCCTCTCCCTTATGGCTTGCTGAAATTTTCGCTCCAGTGCTGATAATCTCTGTGTGTAATCATCGGTCAACTGGCTTATGTCTTGACTGTGCTCAGCATTTTTCTCAAAACTATCCAGTTGTTTTTTCAAGCTGCTGTTAATTTCGTGCAATTCCATATTCGCGCGACTAACTTCGATTAGCTTAGATTCCCTTGCTTCCAGAAGTTCTGTCATTTCCCGAACTCGACGAAGCAACCTTTCTACTTCGAGACTTGCGTCGTCCGAACCAACGCTTATTTCGCTCAGTTCACGTGAATGTCCTCGAGTTTTTAGAGTTCGCGTTAGAAGATCCGTCGTTTTTGAGCTGCAAGGCAGCTTAGCGGGGCTCTGACGCGATTGAGTAGAGCTCGAGTCCCCATTCGGACTAAATAAAAATAAAAGTTTGGAATAATTTAATCAATACCGATACTATGAATAATTTATCTTGCTACAAATGTACCTGTACCTTGATATAATCTCTATATCACTCGACGTAGTCGTTTCGATTTCATCGCCGCTGGTGTGTCCACTTGTCTGGTCTGAGCCGATTTTCACCAAATCCGATCTGCTACATTGAATAAAAAAATACAAATAACGAATTCCATTTCCATTATAGTAAAATGTTTTACCTTTCTGATGAAATCGGTGAATTATCCCTAGCAGAAACCGAGCTATCTTTTTCGTTCTCGAGCTCGCTCTTATCAGCCATTGCTTCAGCGAGCATACACTTGACGTAGGAACTCGATGTCAAAGGCTGTTTGACAGTACCGAAAGTGCTTGCTGCATTATTGTCGTCCGAGCTACTTTCAATTAAAGTCTCTTCGCAGCTTGAATCGGTCAACATCGCGTACTGCTCGCTAGTACTGCTACGTTCTAGTCCTTCGATTTGAGATTTACAATCCGAGGGCTCGATAGTCGATGATATTAAACGATCAAATGGGCTTGTTGATGAATGCGGCTGACATGTAATCGCTTCGATGGATAATTGTAAATTTGTCTGTAGCATTTACAAGTAAAAAAATGAGTTTAGAATTCCCTGTTTTTATTGGCATAAATGTATATAATTATCTTACCAAACTTCTATCTTTCAAAGAATCCAAACTCTGGTCAAGCGGATAATCTAAAGATTCCGCACTCTTACAAATACTTTGTTCATCTTTCGCTGGTTCAAGAACTGTTAACATTGTACTCTCTGATCCAGATGCGTAGGAATCATCAGCTAAACTCGCCTCATCGATATCTTCTCCTTCGCCACTTGCATCTTTATTTCTAGAAGTTGTTAAACTGGTCCTAGAAGCTGTAATTGGTATTGAACCTACTAATGTGCTAGTTGAACTTTTAACATCTTCTGAAAAGGGTTGAATTTCCATAATTTTAAAATATTACTTTTTATGATACAATATCTACAACTTGCTATAAATGATACAGTAAAATTTTATCACCTCCATCAATTGATGATTCAATTAGTGCTGCAACCTCAATACTTTGACCAGATATTGGTGTTGTGGATGTTTCAAAAGGTCTTTCTTCCAAGGGAGAAGCATGAGGGCTTTCATCACTTTTCCAATCAGTTAAAATTTCTACAGAACTTGGTGAAGTTAAACTGTCAGGTATGACTTCCACAGATTCTGAATGAATTTTCTGACCCATAGAAATACTTAATGAATGCATATCAGAATCTGGACTAGTTGTACAGTCTGTATTTGTATCAGATTGCATACTTAAAATTTCTACACTCTCTGAACTCCTTTTATCGCTTTCAATGGATAGTACAGACAACCGATGTACAGAATGACTAGTATTAGTTATGGTATTGGATAGATTTTCATTTAGTCTGAGTACAACGTCATATTTTTTATTTGTTTCACTAATATCAGAATCATGAGGTTTTTTTGCTTCTGTTGATTTGGCACTTGTGTATATATCATTCTTCTGCTCACATAATTTTGTTGAATTGTTTTGATTTCCAGAAATATTGTGACTTATTGATGCTATTGACATTATTCAAATTATTAATTACATTGTTAAAAGCAACACATATAAAATTTATGTAAATACATTACCTTGACCTGTATATTCTTCTATACTTTCCGACTTAGATATAATTGAAGCAGAATCTAAATCTGATACAGACTGAACACCACTATTCAATGATTGTACATTTTCATCTTTTACAGATAAACTTTCTGGCAAAGATTTTGATGACTTCAGAACTGTTTGCCCATCTAAACTTTCTATAGAGCCTTTAAAAGCTTCAGCTGTCTTGTTTGTAACAGCAGTCATGATATCTTTTGGATTTTCAAAAAACGAGCCAGTAAAGCTACCCCAAATACTTGTGCTTTGCGACTGATCCGAAACTGATTTAGATTCTTCGACTGGTTTATCTTTGTCCATTTCCCAAGTATCAAAAACTTCTGAAGAGGATGTACTGTCTTGAGGCAAAACTGTTCCTGAACGCTGCTCCTCATCTTTGATATCTAAGGCTTTGTCTATGGTTTTTTGCGCCTCTTTTAGCGCAGTCTTGGCTAGACTGGCAAAACTTGATGTATCGAACCAACTCATCTTTCCTCATATCTATTTGAAATTATTAAATATTCATCAGAATTGTTACGAAAGTCACGTAAAAATAGTCTAACAACTGTTTCGTGCATGAGATATGAACAAATTGTACAAATGATTAATCTACGTCATCTTACCTTGACAGTGATAATGTTCTTTCAAATTGTACAATTGGACCTCAACAATTGAACCAACAAATGTTATAAATTCAGCAACATAAATCGCACAAGATTGTTTTATGGGTTGAGAATCATCAAAGAGATAATACACGAATCTGTGAATGTATTCACCATAGAAAATAGTTTGAGTTTTGTACATATGCTTTTACGCTGTAATTAAACAGTGGTTTTCCTCAATATTATGATATTGCATGAAAGCGCTGAGCAGTCGACGCAATGGTTGCTTGTTGACGTTGGCAATATGCACATATATACACACAGTCGATGAGACATGATTTACTCAATGTGTAAATGTAACTTTTGATATGAACTCAGTATCATGTCAGTGGCTTGTTGTTCTGTACCGTGATGAGATGAAGGTACTGTCAAAATTGAATAGTTTCAATCATATACTTGGATAAAGTAATTAATGAAGGAAGATCAGTAAAACCGCAGGTGTTTTTTGAATGCCTTATGAGTAGCAGTCGGCAATAAAAATTCTACATAATCGATGGTTACTGAAATTCAGATATCTCATGGAAACTTATCGACTATTGAATGAAAATATTAAAATTTTAACAAAAATAACAAATATTGTAACATTTGATCATGTTTATTGTAAATTTAAGGCAATGGGTTTTTTAAAAATCATTTTACCAAGTTGATTTTTGCTATTTTTTTAATATTAGAAACATAGTTTAAAAATGTTGCAAGTTATATTTGTCAATTTGAACTGAATACAATGCGCCGAACGAAATCGAAAATTAATTGAGCAAGATATTCGCTTGAGGAAAGGCCAACATTGACTTTGAGGTCGGCATTGTTTGACACATTTTTCATGTCAGGTCTAAAATTTACCATTCTGGCCTTATTCGCAACAGCTCCAGTGGCGCAATTGGTTAGCGCACGGTACTTATAAGACAGTGTTTGTGTGAGCTATGCCGGGGTTGTGAGTTCGAGCCTCACCTGGAGCATTTTTTTGCACTACGTCCTTGGATCATCGAAATTGTTTTTATCAATGCCCGCGGAAAGTGCTTTTAAAACGAAAGTAAAAAAGTTTGATACTTTTTGCTGTGAAATTATTACAGTGGCCTATTAAAAACATATTATGAGATATTCCCACACGTGGCAAAAATTATTTTGCATAATTTTTTTTTACTTTTTTTTACGACTGTAACGTATGCTTAATTTCTTGCACTGTAATTTCTCATGTAGCTAATAAGTGCACCGCAAGAAACATATTAACTTGACTTTGGAGCAGTTATTAATCAGATATTATTTGCATCATAAATCATTTTTTCTTGCCTAAAAAAAAACTATTAGGTGACGTTTTAATGCGTGCTAAAACCATAAGAGAATGTTCAAAGTATCCTCTACTATAAGGCATTTATCATTTAAATAAATATAATTCATGAATTTGTTCTGCATTTCAAATTATATAGACTATTTTACTCATTTTAGTGTCTCTTTATAATGTAAAAATTGAAATTGACCCATCCGTCAATAAGTAATTGTAGACGAGCAAGCAGTTATGAGGTTTTTAATTGGTATCTTTACTTGCATGTACACGACGATTGAGTATCCATATATATATATATATAACGCCTAAGATTGGGATTGTAATTTTGGAACCAGACGATCGTCGCTCCAGTGGCGCAATTGGTTAGCGCACGGTACTTATAAGACAGTATATCGTACGAGTTGAGCAATGCCGGGGTTGTGAGTTCGAGCCTCACCTGGAGCATATTTTTTTCACTTCAGACACATTTTGCTGGCCGACCTCGGCGACTATTATTCCTTGAATTCCGAATTCATAAGTCATCTAATCGCTCTGTTATGTATTTGACTATCGTGCATTCGATTCGAGTTTGCTATTTATAGGCAATTGTAATTTTAACTTTGGCAATTATGATAATAGTGGAGTTGACTGTCGCTGACGATCTACAAGCGTAATTGTGAAAGTCGAAAGTTTCCGTGATAAGCATTTGTCAAAGAAAAAGAATTGCGATGATTCGAGCTTGTACTATGAATTCGTTTGTCCGCCGGCTTATATAATGCTGACGAGTCGCGACTTTGAACGAGTCAGCGATATCATTCCGACATCAGCACGATAATGACCATATCGGTATACCATGCATTTATGCATTTTGACAATACAAACATAACACACGTCGTTCGCACATAATGCAAAAAGGCAGCATTGGATGCAGCCTTCGTCTCTCTCACTTATGGAAATGATATATAAATAGCTATTTTCCGAGACTGGAGCTCATTTTGTTATTGTTTTTTATCGAGACTGGATCTATAGCGGAAAAGCGCGAGGCGAGCTTTTTAGAGAGAAGAAAAAATATGAAAAAAATCTTGGCCGACGAGTCGACGATTCGCCGCTCTCGAAGAGGCGCTAGAGATCGGTATGTGTATTGGCACATGTCTCACTGTGTTTGTGTCCATGTGCATCGCTCAATGTTGAATTAGCAATCGTTGCACGTGCACACAGGTTTGCGGGCTTGATACTACATGTAGAGCTCGTGTGTGTGTGTGTGTGTGTGTGTGTGTTGTGTGTATGTGTGTGCGTTTGTGTATAAGAGAGACGAAAAAAGTCTTTCCTCACTCGTAGCGCTAAGCAATTTTTGCCTTGATAAGCATGTTATTTCGTGTGTATAGAACGATCGGAGTGCAGCTCTCCGCGGCTGTCCGAAGACGACCAAGCAGTCGTGTTTTTGATAAAGCAAAAATACGCCCCTATTAAAAGGCACGGCCGCTCACAGACAGACGGACACTTGGCGAGTGACTTTGACAGTTATCGTATGCGGCCGAGTGTAAGTGTGCACTCGATAGACACGGAGCCAGCAGCAGCAGAGATACACAAAAACATTCGGCCGGCTCGGCTCGGCTGTAAGTACGTGTGCATTTTGGAGAAACGGTTGTGCGCCACTCGCTGCACGCCCAAAGCCGGCAGGACAATTTTATTATCGTACGGTGCGGCAAGTGTAACGCGAGACGATTCATTCGTTGAATTTTCTCAAACTTTGTGCCGACCTCTGCGAGTGCTTACCGCTGCTGTTCTGCGTATGCCTACGGCAAATCGTTAACTCATAAATATGGGCTATAAGGTGAGTTACCTGACTTTTGTACAAGCCGGATGCATTACCGACGCCGTTGAGCCGTTCACGGACAACTAAATATCGCGAGTCATTCGCGATCGAGTAAATGTTTTACCTCGCAATGATCTATGAAACATTTTATTTTCAGAATAAGCTGTTTCTCGTGACACTGCTGGTGCCGATAGTGTCTTACCTCGCCCTTCGAGTGCAGGGCTCGATTACCGTCGAGACAACGGTAAAGAACGCGTGCCGATGTCTTTTTGTTTCGGGATTCGCTAAAACTTGGTCAGTTTCTTTCATTGTAATCTTCGCTCGTAGGAAGAACTTTTGAGAAAAAATCATTATCCTTTCGAGGATCACCAAATCGAAACCGAAGATGGCTATATATTGGGTATTCATCGCATCCCGCAAAAGAACGGAGTGCCGATTTTCCTTCAACACGGCCTCTTGTTGAGTTCAACCGACTGGTTAAAAAATGGACCTAATCGATCTTTGGGTGGGTATTAAGGAAAACTCTGTAATCTATTTAGATGGCGAGGGGAGATATTTAGAAAGAAATGTTTACTTCGTAGCCTATTTGTTATGGGACGAGGGCTACGACGTTTGGCTCGGAAATTTCAGAGGCAATGCTTATTCGAGAAAGCACAAAACTTTGTCACCAAAAGACAAAGAATTCTGGGACTTTAGGTGACAACTTCAAATACAACAAAAAATCGAAAAATCAATTGCAATGCGACGAGTAGAATTTAACTTTTACAGTTGGCACGAGGTGGGCTACTACGATATGCCTGCGGTGATCCATCATATCCGAAAAACGACCGGTAAGGATATATTTTACGTCGGCTACTCGATGGGTGGTGGTTCTTTCTCTATCATGGCCTCGGAACGGCCCGACGCGGCCAAACACGTCAGGGCGATGATAGGCCTGGCTCCGGCCATTTACGAATACCACATGACTCAGCCGCTCATCAGGTTTCTCTCGGTTTTCTGGAAGGAGCTTAAGGTATCATTTTCGTCGCAGCAAGCTCACGGGTGCCCGTAACTGACTGCATTTTTCTCTAGTTCGGGGCCAAACTCATTGGTCTGTACGAGTTCGCACCCCAAGGCGGCGTGTTCGATACCTTATTCAACGACTTGTGCAACGTCACCTTCTTGCGCGACTGGGCCTGCAGCGGTGTGATTTCGTACATTTTTGGATACAATCCGCCTCAGCTCGATTACGTAAGTAACCAAGTCTCATGTCGACGATCATAACAGAAAAATCATTATTTTTTGCGCTTCGTTATTGCTTCAGAGCCGAATCCCGGATTATTTGGGCGCCTTTCCAATGGGCACGTCCATGAACATAATCTGGCACTGGTTCCAGTACATACGCGTCAACGAGTTTCGCAATTATGATCATGGCCGAGAAAAGAATTTACAACTTTACCATCAAGAGGAACCACCCAAGTACGACTTGACGAAGATACAGATACCCGTTGCCGCGTTCACTTCCGATAACGACGCCATCGTCGACAGCAGGGTAATTTTTTTATCATCAATGAATTACTCGACGAAATTAAGACTTTTGCTGAGATGAGCGATTGACTGCGACAAATGTTTCATTTTTCCGCATTTATCTCGTTTCCGCAGGATATCAAACACTTTTACGAGCAAATTCCCAACAAACTCGGCATTTATGATCTCAGCGAGTACGGCTTTAATCACGTTGATTTTGTATGGGGCCTCAACGCCACCGAATTAGTTAATCAAGACGTATTACGAATCCTCAGGTGGGACGATGCACACTCGTGCTATTTCTACTTAATCGAACCTCGTCCACTTACATGCACATAACGATTCGGTTTGTTGACTTTACAGGGAGCAAAGACAGGAAGAGTCGAGTAGTCGGAACAAGACAGTCACGAATGAGTTGCTGTAATAGTAATTAACTTATGGATAAGTTGATACACATTCCTTGCCATTGAAACAGTTTTTACTGCTTAGTCATTATTAAATAGTATTACACATGCTGCACTAATCGTTCGACAGTCTTAACCAGCTTGTGTGTAAACGTTTTCGCTAATTTTTTGTAGATATCGTCAAGTTCATATGAGAAAAATTGATTCTTCCTTGTTATTGCGATGACTCGAATTTTTCCACGCGTTGCGAATAAAAACGAAGGTGGCGCGATATATGCGCCTTCGATAGTTAGCTGAAAATTCGTTTGATTGGAATTCGGTCTCGAGCAATGCAATATATATATTAGTATTGTGAAATTGAATTTCCTTTCGATTCTGAATGTGTGCGAGTGTGCGAGCACGTGAAAGTTACACACACGCGCGCGCGAGCACACACATTTGCACGCAGCTTTGATTGATTCGGAACTTCTGTACAAGTGCAATTTATTATGGTTTCGAATGAGTTACAATCTCTTCAATACAACGAGAGTATTGAAACTAATATCGAATCTTGTGATTTTACATATGTTGTAATTTTAGTGTAAAAAAGTGTAGGGTAGTTTTTAATCATCACTACGTTTGAATATAGTTATTTATGTAACAAGTGCCCAAAAGGCGTTTTTGGGCACGAGTGTGCGGAAAAAGACACGAGTGCCGGCTGTGCCGGCACGAGTGGGTGTTTTTTCCGCACACTGTGCGCAAAAAGCTGGGCACGTGTTGCATACAAAATTTTATGCAATAGGAGACGAAAAATACTTTAATTTAAATGAGGCGTTTTACCGCACACCCGTGTCCAAAATAAGGCATTTTACCGCACACAAGTGTCCAAAAACGCTTTTTGCGCACTAAAAAATGTGCGAAAAAAGACATTTTTCGTCATACTATTGCATAAAATAATTTTATTCATTTCAAGAGATATTTGTTTTGTGATTGCTGTTTCCGTAATCGCGGCTAAAGGTTTCTCAAGAATAGAACACTTCAAGGTTGTCTTGAGGAAAGGCCTAATAAACAATTTTAATTTCATTTTCAATTATTCATAATTGCCGATTGTAAAAATCGATCATTGCTACTGTTACAGTACCGAGCTGAATTTCGATGTGTGTTCGTGTTTGAGTTTCCTCTACCCTAAATCAGCTAGCAGTAGTTGATCCCAATTAGACCTCTTCACGTATGCATTGCAAATGAGTTCGTACTTTTAACTAAATTTTCAATGCACGTTCTCGAGGTTACATAAGTTTGTTCATTTATTGGTAAAAATATAGGAAATAAAGCGGATTGTCGATCTTGAATCGTGAAACTTTTCCGTTTCAGAAGTTTCGGTTTTAATCAAAATGTTTTGAAATGGGTTTCATTTTATTTTAGTCGATAAATTTATATATATAGTTTATATGACAGATGAAAAGGATAAAGCCCGCAACGAGTACGTCGCTCAATAAGTAATGGTATTAAAGTACAAAAGTAAATAAAAATCTCAATAGCATCGAAAAAAATCGACAATAAAATCAATATTCTTGCTCCTCTTTGTATATCACTGTTTATAACTTCGTTTTCTTCGAATAAACCGAATGCCGGGGGCTGTTGCCACGCGAAAAATACATCCGAATTTAACGTGGGCAAAAAAAGGGATAAAGACATGATGTATACTTCAATGAAAATACCCTTCAAGCACACAGTATACTCTATTTTCCAGCGTTTTCACGTTCACGCATACAGGAAATTATTGGCTCGGCGCGACCGTCATTTATATAGAACCTCTGCGCGTGCATATTTATCGATACGAACTCGCATCTTTCAGCCATTAGGAAAAATTCACGTTTTTTCCATTCAGTTTTTTCACGGTGGCCGGATTAACGATTTGAACGTATGAATGCAAATGTAATTACGTTTCGAAATGTTTCGAATACTTCATATAGTGGGTATACAACTCGAAGTAGTTTTGATGATATAATTCACCGTGACAGTTAAATTAGTAAAATTTACCTCACACAAAATCAGTTGAAATCGTTAGAAGTTTAGGCGGTCGCCAAACTTTTCACGTATGTGCCACGTAGCTAAGTTCATGCTTAACATATTTATTCATGAACTTGATGAGAGAAAACTAGAGAGAATCTTGCCGACGGCCATGAGTACACATTACATCAAACATTTACTCAATAACTTGATCTTCGTGAGCCTGAAATCCGGCAACCGGATGGGTATCCCCCGTGGAGTCAACTCACACATGCACACACACATATACGCACGTCACCCACAGATGCATCCGTTGTAAAGTGCGAAATTAATTATCAAGCGGATACGTCGACTACACCGAAAGTACGATCGCCATAATTAAGCGTCGCGCGACGAGGGTGACGTACGCTCAACTATTTTCATTATTGTTGCTTTTAATTAATTCCATACTATCGGTACGGACTTTTTTCGTTAATACGAATCGATTTGAATTTTGGATGAAAATTTTAGGCGATGATGAAAATTTATTTTGAAAGTTACACGATTTTGGATTAAAATTGTGCACTTTGTGTTTAGCACGACTTTTACACGGAAAAGCGATTGGCTCGTGAAAGATAAAGCTACGAGAACTACAAAACACGATGCAGACTTACACCACAGGAGATCGTGTTGCTTAACCTTTTCTGAAGCTGCTTTACGAAAAGCGAAGCAAATCTCCCCTGTGCTACACAGTATCTACCACATTTTCTAGCCATTGCAGCTTCCTACAAATTTCGCACGATCATGCACTCGAAAACGTTAAGTAGTCTTAGCAATTGACGAAGCTGCTTGCTCTTTCGTAGTGCAATATTTTTGTGTTTAATATTTCACGGATCAATCACTTTTCCGTGTATAAAAATGTTGATGATTTATTTAGAAAAACAATTAAGTATTGGATCGATAAAGGAGTTTTAATTAAATACCGCAAGATACGAGCAACGAATCTCTAAGACATTCGAAGCGCAACAAAAAAGACCCTTCTTTTTAATCGGTCGGGGCCGACAATTCACCTGTATGCCCTTTTTTCTCTATTCACACATGCAGTTCGCATTCATATAATTTTAGAGCTAATCCAATGAATTTCTCGCTTTGTAAGCTCGAGTTTTAATATCGATTGATACTCACTTGTGTAAAGCAAAAGTAGAAGGAATGGATTTTCCTTTGAATTATTATTCCCTTTATAATGATAGCATTTCAATTGGTAGCGCTGTATGAAATGGCCAATGTTTTTTGTTGTTTACCAAAGCCTCAGAAATCGGGCCGCTCTCGCGAATCTAAAGCCCACGCACACATAGCAGGCAGGAAATTCAATAAAATTCAAAATGGAAATACGTCTCTTTTTGGCTTTTCATCTTTCTCGCCGTTCGATCCCTTTGCACATGGATGTATTGACACGAGCACGAAGCAGCACGCGTCGTCAAATTCCCACCTAAACTTTTCACTGTTCTCTGTTTTGCTGTTATTGCATGCTGCATATGCATACGTACGGTCGTGCGCGCGAATAAAAGCCTTTGCCAAAGTACGCAGGCATGCTCACGTATATATTATATAGGTGCACTGCCAGCCTCGGGACTGCTACCGCGCAGTCTGTGCGCTGCAGCTTGCAGGAATATTTAAAAGTTGCCTCAAAGTAATATTGGAAAATCTGTACCGACTGCCAGCTCGACAATTTATGCGTATCAATTATTTGCAAGTGACGACTACTCTGCAATGGTAATTTGCATGTAATATATATAAAATTTGTATAGAGAACCCTGCCGATATTGACACTTTCCTTCCCTTTTAACACGCTTAGGTTCAGCGTCTTATTTCTGATGCGAAATTGGAGAAGCCCTTGGCGCGCTGCAAGTGCCCGGCCGAGCATTTATTGATGCCAGCTCTCAGAGGACATCAGTGACACGAAGAAAATTTGAGTGCCATCGGCTGCACGGAAGCGCCCACGGTATAATTAGCAGATAAAATAGCTGCGCGAGTCTTTGAAGATTGATACTCGATGGCCTGCATCTTAGCTACCGACTTGTTCGATTCAGGGCTTGGGAAAAAATAGCTCGTTGACGAGTTGAAATATAAAAATAAAAAGACTCACCGAAGACAGCATCTTTTAGTATATTATTAATTTGCCACGCGAACTCGATGGAGTTTTCTCATAGCTTTTGTAAAATGTGCGAGAAAAATGTACGTACGAGAGAGCAAAAAAAATTTTATAGGCCACCGAGAGCTGTATACATGCTTACGATCAACAGCGTCAGCCGTTGCAAATATGTACTGCACTTTAATGAGTAAAGCTATTTTCCGCCGTTCCGTCGTTAAAATAGCCACCTATTTGTGCTGCACTGTCGATTATGCACAAACAGTACACGTACGCCGTTTGGAATAATAATGCGGGGGTGAAATTAACCAAAGCACAACACACAGATTTTAATGTTTATATACATCAAATCGTATTGGATCTTTATTATAATGTTTTTTCTCGAAGTTCGTATGAATGACATTGTATTAAAAATGCTGATGACAAGTACATCGCTCACACGCGCACATTTATACACGTACAACATACGATCAAAAGCTGGTTTTTTTTCTTCTTTCCATTTTCTTTACAACAGCAAACAAGCAGCAATATGATAATTTTTCCACAAAAAAACGATCAAATCAATCGATCGTGCGCAAATTCATACATGACAGTCAATACGGAGCGAAATTCATTCTAATAAAGCTGCACGCTTGGCTCGTTCTGTCAGACATATATTCCGCTCCACGCGACAGAGTTAACAAATAATATTATCCTACATGGATATTATCCTCTCTGGCTCGAGTCAACTCGATTCAAATGCATTTGCGCGTACATAGATACGGTTTTATTATCCGATACATGCCATTTATGCATCTGCTGTCCATTTGCGCGTACTTGGCGCATTATGTGCTGGGCGAAAAATTATTATAACAATCATCTAAATGTGCAACGATCCGCATTATGTATAATGTATAATACGTTACGATCTGTTTGTGTATGTGTGCGTGTGTATAATGAGTATACACGTCAGTGTCACGTGATTATTGCAATAAAACCGATTTATTTATCCTTACTATAATGATTAACTTTTTTCTCAATGAGTTAAATTTTTCTTTTCGACCTTAGCATAGGGCTTGCGCGTGCCAAATTCTACTATGCTTTTCTCGGTTATTTCCATTTATAATCTTATGAGCGCCAGTGAATTAATTTTCGTAATTTTAATAGTTATGTATAGCATAAGGTTAATAGAATAGACGAGAGAGAGAGATCGACGGATAAAGGTTATTTCACGGGTGTAATTCATTTTGTTATTCGATATTAATCAATCAGTGCAGTAGAAATTTGATGGATTCAAGAGGTAAGCGAATGAAATCTTAAACGAAAGATGGATGTTTATACAAAGCACCATTTAATACCCGTTGGAAGAAGCTGTTTATTAATTATTTCTCGTGTCTAATAATGCTACACTAAGCTCGCGTCAGCGAGAGGAAGCCTAGTTTTTTACTCATTGCTTAAAAATGGTGTAGTCGTATAAAAAATTAGGTAAAATTTACCCTCTCTTTGATTTATTTTAATCACGTGTATAATGTATATATGTTTATGTATAATATATCAAAAAATTGGAGCAAAAATTTTACATTACCTCAAATAATTACATACAAAGTTATATTTGATCGTCATTGAAAAAACAGAGCTGTATATATTAATGTCCAATATCGAACGTAAAGACATAATGTATTTCAATTAACGATGGCAGCACGACATATTTTTCGTTCTCTGCCCGCAATGTAATTTATTTTAACTACAAAAAAATCCTATACAACCCAATAATATCTTTCAATTCCTCATTTTAATAATTTAGTCTTTTATTCATACAGTGATACATACTCATATGATACTCTTTTCTCTTCGCGAGTAACAAAAAGAATCTGACTCTGGATATATGTACAAATTGTAAGAAAAAAGGAAAACTACGTACGATTTTTAATAAACAAATTGAGCTTTTCATTACCACAGGTATGTATGTACAATCGCACTCATTTTTAATCTACATCAACGAAAACATCGCAGTTTTCATTTATTCATACACAGCGTCTACATTGCCTCGTTTCATTTCAACATACTCTCGCACTTTTTGATGAATTTTTTCATAAAACTTTTATATGCATATTTGTTACTATAGTTATTTATGTTATATGCATAATTTGATTTTCATAATTTTCATTGATTTTAGCATATTAATAATTAATATATGCATTTACTTTAACGAGGGTTAACTGTACGGTTTTTATTCGCACTTTGTTTATTTAGTTTAATTTTTTTCTTTTAGTTATGTTTCTAACATTTATGATTTACACTTATGACTTTTACGAGTTTTCAACTACCGATAAATGATACATTCATTTTTTTATATTTATACCGTTTGATGTATCGCCAGGGTCAATCTTTTGATTAACTTTTTCATATGAATACGCAATCATATAGTTTTATGGCGTTAGTCATTGGCACAGTTCGTCCGCAATTGATACAGACACGATGATTTTTCCATTTTTCTTCGTAGATTATATTATTAACTATATTAAGGCATTGACTCAGGTCAACGGGCCAATGAATAATATAACTTATTATATTCGTATCTTCATATCTTCATAAATCATACGCGATGCAAAAGTTCGATAGATGATTAAATTCGCAAGAAATATCTTTCGTGTTCTATAAAATAAAAGAGTAAACAAGATTCAGTGCATTATAATGATTATAAAGAATAAACTATCTATTACGCGAGTTTATAATTGCAATAAAAAAAGGAGAGTTTCAGAAGCATACTTTTTTTCACGCGTAAATTTATTTTTGTTTTATACGATCACAGCCCCGTTAAAAGATCCTTTTGTCTTGACGCGCACTGCTCGACTTTAATTCACGATTTGTGTAATTCATTTTTTCCTTTTTCCTTTTCCCATGTAACATGAATTTTTCTGTCACTCTCTCTTTTATTTTACTCGTTTACTATACAAAATAATGCTAGTGCAGTTGGAAAAAATATATCGTTATTATCTGTGCGCGCATCTATAAAAATTGTTTCAAGTTCTTACAAAGATCTTTCCGACAAGTCTCAAAAACTGACATTTTTGAAGATGTAAAAATAAGTAAATAATTTGATCGAGGCTTTATCAATCAATTATTATTTCACAAAATCGCTTGAGTGAACTCTGATGTATAGAATTGGCAACAGGGTTATAAAATGAAATCAAGATTTATGAATCATTTTAATTAAATCTTGGAATGTATGAAATTGCGTCCACAAATGAACTGTTTTTTATCCATCTTTTACACGTCAAAATGTTTCTTTTTTGAGACTTGTTGAAAAGATATTAGCGAGATCCTGAAAAATTTTACGTGGTTCATTATACATCATATCTATATGTTAGAGGACAATATTTCATCATCGTACTTACTGTTATATATACTTCGAATAAAGGGTGCTCTCTAATTGCGTTACTTTATCTTTTTTTTTGTACAAAGTTTTTTATTTTGTAAAATATATCAGCTTTCTACAAGAGTGTGAGATGAGTATACATATATTTTTTATCTCTTTTGCTCGCTGAAAGGCCGAAAAGTAAAGCGACGTGTAGAGTTGGATGATAAACGAGGGACAGTTTTTAAACAGGTTCAAAGCAATTTTGTTTCAATATTATTAACGATCGGAGAGAAAAATTATTGGCACAATAAAATGAATGATAGTCCACGAGTTTTCGTTATCGACTGAAAAAAAAAACACATTAGTCTGTAAAGTACGTACGTCACTTTACGATTCTTCTGTACTCGAAAGTATTTTCGTGCATTTAAGAAATCTTATCTCGTCCGTATCTTCAAATGTTTTATCTCACATTTTAGTATAATATCCGTTACACACACACACACACACACGGGCGCCAAACTTTTTACTCTCCGTAATCATGGCAGTTAAGTTTTTGTTTAATATTTCGTAACAAACGCCTCAATAATTCAGGGTATATTATTTTCTATACATCCTTACGCCTCTCTTTCTCTGGGCGACAATGACGTTGGACGGATGTCAAATTTGTACGTATATGTGTGTGTATCTACGTACATACAATATCTCTAGTAGCTCGAAAATTCGAACGAGGAGAGTTGAAAAGGTAAAACGTATGCATAATACGTATGTGTGCTGCTGCTGAAAGAACGAACGAAAGAAAGAACGAACGCCTTAGACGGTTGTCTCCCGGTCGACGTGGATGTATTCCACGAAGCCGGGAGTCGAGTGTCAAGATCCTGGTCCTAATAGAGTCTCCTCCGTCGGCGCTCGTCTTGGCTTTTTCGTTGATTCCTCGTATTCAAGGCGTTTCGCGCGGGCTTTCGATCTGCGAATCAAAAAAAGGGAAGAAAACGTGAAAGGAAGATAAAGATGTACTATAGTTTTTGCCATTTCATGCACTTGGATTTGAGACGCAATTTTTTTTTATTTTTAAATTCAAAGGGGCACACGCGGAGGATTTCGACGGATGAATAGTCAGACAAAATAAGCTCCACGATCAAGGGAAGAGGAAGGAAAAAAAAATCGATACTCGCGTGTACTCGGAAAAAGGCAGCTAACGCAGTACTTGTATGAGCTCGAGGGTGTCCAACTCACCTTCCAACGAGCACGGCGAATAGGCAGGCGCAGGCCGCGAGTATGCCGGCCACGGCGGCCAGCAACAACCAAGCCCCGCCGGAGAGCCAGCCGAGCAGTCTGGTGCCACTGGCGCAGTCGGCCTCGTCGAAGCCGCTCGGGCAGTGGATGCGGCCGTCGCACCAGAGGCTCGAGGCGATGCAGGCCCCGAGCTCGGGGCAGCGGTGCTGGCAGTCGCGCAGGCTGCCGTTCAGGCCCTCGCTCTCGGGCAGCAGTCGCAGTTGGCTGCGCAGGGCCGAGCGGCTCTTGGAGATCTCGAGCCAGGAGGCCGCGGCCTCGCCGGGTTCGCGCGCTACAAAGTCCAGCAGTAGGGCAGGCGAGCGGCCCGGTCCCTGCAGCTCCTAGGGAAAACATACCGGCTAGTAATACCAATTCGCTCTGTTTTTTTTCGCAATCGGAAGCGCGCGCAGCGGCAGGCTGTAATTAAAATGAAAATATTCCCATGTTGGAGCGCGTAACAATCGCATTAAGCTCGTCCAGGGGCCACGTTTCATTCCCTTTTGTGGGGAACGAAACGCGGAGGGCTTATTTAAGAAAACCTCCGAGACTCGAGCTCGCGTACAGCAGTCCTTTCTCGGAAGTCGCTGCGAGCAAAAGATACACCTTACTTATTTTAGTTGAGGCTAAACTACTGGCTTCGTTGCAGCTCGACTGCGGATGCAAACAGTGGCTTGAGCACACAGAGAGACACAAATGTCTATATGTATATAAAGCCAACGTACTACGTAGCGAGCTCCCCCGGCAAAGGCGCGCAATTAGCGAGAAAGACTTTTCCAGCGGAGCAAATTAAAGCATCGCATTATATATACCTTGGCTTGCGCAGTGTGCATACAATTTATACTTATATCTATGTTATGTGTAGCCGATCGGTGTAGCGAGGCTGCGATGTGGCGCAGTGCAAACCACTTCCTTTTCTACAAATTGCGGATGAAAAAAGAAAAAAAATTCCGAGAGCTAGACAAGAAGCATCCCCGAAAATGTCTACTTTATGTTTTTTTTTTTTTTTTAGGCATCGTTGTGCTTTATGAATGAAGCGTTCATATTTCAATGGAGCGCGAGAATACCTATTGTCTCTATGGAAATTCAAGGTTGCACTCGAGTTTCTCCTACTCTCTCTCTAGCTCAACTCTTTAAGCAATTCAAAGAGCACTCGAAAATCGAGATAATTTTCAGTGCGCCGTCGGCCCTTGACCGAGATCCTCGCGCAAAACGAAGAAACAAGCCATTCGACCGAGACAAAGTTGATAAGTACAACAGCAAAGAAAGAGTTATGCATGCACACTACTACCCATCATATATCGCGTAGAAAAGAAAAGAGATTGACGCAGAAGGAGAATAAGGCAAAGCTCGTTTCTGTTTCCGCGTCACGAGTGCAAACGACGTCCATAGATCTCTCGAAAAAGCCCCGCACGATAGTTATGCAGAACCAGCCACAAAGTTTGCGCGCGCGTATGTGTACGTAGATGGACGCGCGCAGGGACGCAGTCGTCGCCGTATATGTACATATACGCAGTGCAGTGGAGCGGCATGTAGCTGAGCTATGTATGCAGAAGCAAACAGGCAAACGTCCTCCGGGGCAAGTTTCACGGGTCACTCTCGTGTAGCATGTCTATATGCACACGTAGTACACACACACACAACAGCTGCGCGATACATAGCCGCGCACGTTCGTGACTCTTTTTTATTATTCTCCTTTTGCCGTGTACACTGTGTGCTACGTGTAACTGCTGCGTATACAGCCCGACGCAGCACCTATACATAAATTGCCCGAAATATGCAATGCGGTTGCTCGACGTCTATATGGGCCGGCAACTGCACCGTATCGTTAGCCGCTGCGTGTACGGTCGCGGGGACGGTGCAATTGATTTTCGATACGTCTTTTTTCGTCGAGTATCTAGGAGAATCGATGCTTTAGACTCACCGAAATTTTGCCGTTAGATCCGAGCCATTCCTCGGAATAGACGTGCACGGTGTACTCTCTGGAATCGGGATCAGCCGGGCAGACGACCTTGTGGAGTCTCGGAGGCCAACCCGAGTACATGAGCAGTCGATTGGTCGTCGGGCACTTGGTCAACGACGACGTCGAGGAAGACGAATCGGAAGCCGTGTGTCCGTCGATGCTTATGGCCGGGGTCGTGGTGCTGAGGCTCGAAGGGCTCGTCGTCGCTTGCTGCGGCTCGAGCGGAAGCAGCCAGCCCCAGGTGAGAACGAAGAGCGAGCGATTGTCGCGCGCCTCCATGAGCCAGGGCAGTCCCTCGCAGTAGATGTCGGGCCGCGAGAGAGGCGGCGAGACGAAGCGCAGCTGTCCACCTGTGCTCCCAAGCATCAAAGTACATCGTTAAAAGCTCGAGCGAGTACGAGAGGGAATAAACAAAGGCCGGATCGATAGTCAGACTCCGCGACGCCTTTTCAGCCGAGCCCTCGCGCGCGCCAAAGTTGGAAAACTCGGTTGCAACTCGACTCGACGTCGGAGCTTTGCTCGCTCCAAGCACGGCCCACTCCCGTCGTCGTCGTCGTAGTCTACGTGTATACGAGTGCCAACTTTGTTCTCGGCTCTTTCTCTCCTCGCGCCTCGATTCATATACTCGGCGAGGATTATTCCATTTAGCTGTCCCAGCGCGCCGCTCTTATACGAACGTACTTTGTATAAATGACAGCGGCGGCTCGCCTACGATGCATACTGTACACGAGCGCGATATTGTACGTGAACTCGTATATTGTATACACGATCACGAGAATCAAGCAAGCGACTTTAGCGAGCAGCAAAATGGAAAGATGAATGAAATATCAGGGGCTTTTGATCGTATCCGTCCCGAGACGTCGGCTTTATAATGCATACGAGTTAATTAAGTGGAAACCGGTTGGTTAATTATTTTCATGTTGTAAGCACAAAATACTCGCCTTCGCCTCGGAGGCGCTGCTTCCTCGGGCACTCGGGCGCCCTGACGAGCTCGAAGCTCGCGTTGAAGAAGAGCGTCTCAAAGTCCTCGTCGGGCGTCATGCCGTCGATGAGGAACTCGAGCTCGATCGCCCGGCCGCTGGTCGTGTGCGTCAGCGGCAGCAAGCTCGACGAGTTGTCGCAGACGCAGGCCCGGGGCAGCCGCACGTCCTTCCAGGGCGCCTCGTAGATGGTCAGGCTGGCCCGACGCGCCCCGGCCTCGTGGACGCAGCGCGGCCTGCCCGAGTGCGGGTCGGCCTCGCCGGCGCAGTAGCTGGCCGCCTCGCCAAGGCTGACGTTGTGCACGGTCAGCTTGACCCGCTCGCCGGCGGCCGCCTCGACGCGGTAGCGGCACTCGAGCCGCTCCGAGCCGCCCCGGCCGAACAGCCGAACGTCCCGGGGCGAGCTCACCACGCCGGCCTTCACTCGGCGCCAGATTCGCGAGCACTGCTGGCTCGGCGACTCGCCCCATTGCTCGCCTCCTTGGCTCGTCGACACGAACTCGTAGCGAGCCTGTGAGCGAAATACCAAATTTTCCACTTATCAATTATATAGTTCATCCAGCGACTGGCATATTTTTCCTTCGTCCAGGCAATTTTGCCGAATTTATTAACGATTCCGAGCGATTAAAGCCGAGCTGCATCCGGACGCGTCATGCGAAAATAGGAAAAATAGCGAAGGCGAAGCAAGCTCGCGCGAGCGACGAGCTATCCATTTCGCCGACTTTTGGCAATTACGCGTACAAGTCGGACGTAGGTAGCGGCGAAGCTAGCCTCGAGCTTGCCAGACGTAGCTCACGTGCTACGTACGTATAGCGCTATATAGCCCGAGGTCTTTAATCTTTGCGCGCGCCCGCCCGAGCGCCGTATCCGCTGAGAAATATATAATGGATAAAATAGGTCAACTCGCTCTTCGCTGTGGCTCGACCGCGTGCATGTGCAGCGGCCGCGAGGCTAGAAAACGCTCTTTCCTTGATTTATCTCCCATGTATACGGAATGGAAAACGCGCCTATAGTCTAGGTAAATTTACATGCTGTACACGTTTTTAGAGAGCAGCGGATATCGATACACTTTTATTATACACCGCTGAAAGCTACGCCGGATAATTATAACGCCTTCTTTCTTTCTACTCTCTTTCTCGACAACTCGGCTAAATGGGCTTTTCATTAAATATCTGCACTGCTATATACATTATGTAGCGGCAGTAAATAGCGACTCTTCTTTTCACAGTTCGTTACGGCGCCGCTTTTGTGTACATACGAATTCGCGCAAAACGCCGCTGAAGCATCGATCCGACCTATCACTGCACGAGCTGCGCGAAGGAAAACATTCCCGTCTTCCGTGAGAATTCATTTTTTTTCTCCCCGCTTTGCTCGAGAAATGAAGAAAAAAGTTATATACCCGAGTCCGGAAATTGCGAATTGTTGCGAGGAATGTAATAATCGCGGCGAGTGCTATTTAAATTCCCTAACGAAACAACTCAATTCCACCGTAAGAGAGAATAGGTTTTTCGATTATTACTCGGGTGCGATTGATATTTTCATTAAAAATAACATCTTGCAGTAAGCTTGGAATAAATAATTGAAAATGGAACGGAGCCATTGAGCTCACCGATACTTGTTTCAGTTTAGAAATGAAAAATGTTCATTCGTGCGAGGTTTTACATGATATATCTTATTTCGAAATGTCGACCAAAGAAGAAAACGATAAGCTGGAGCTTGGACCGGCGTTGCATGAATTTGCTCTCGTTATTTCTCAATCGATGCTTTGAATTTCATAATCTAATTATCGAGAAATACGATTGTCAGCGTGCGAGTTTGGTGCTGCCGGTAGCTTATAATTCCATTTCCAAATGATCGCAGCGTAGCCTGGTTAATTCGAGTACTTTATCGGGATACGTGTATAATCGGTCGAGTTGCGAGGTATTACATCGATTCTTTCGATTTCTTCTAGCGGTAGGTCGATTTAATGCGCTAAGAGATGCCGGTAAGACGCTGTGTCGCATCGATGCATGCAAGATGATATGCAAGATACATCTGCCAAAACGTCAACTCGAGCGCGTTATTATTATCGCTCGCTGCTCATCCTGCAGCTCCTGTGTACAATATGCTTACAATACAGCGGGGCCAGAACATAAGCGCGCGAGTAAGCAGAACATTTCTATCCGCGAACTCGAGCGACCGACGTTTTACGTTATACAGACACTATGTATATAGGCGCGCATGAAGAGATCTAGGGAAAATCGTCGTCTCTCACTCTTTGCTGGTGTGCGGCTACGCTCGTCTGTGTGCGCGCAGATATAAACGCAAACTCGAATAGTACGTGGCACGAGTGCAGCGACCCGAACTCTCTCTCTCTCTCTCACACGCTGGTGTGCAGTCGGTCGCGCGCGTGCGGCGCGATCCGCACATCCCTTGCTCTCACCCTCCCTCTCTCTCTCTCTCTCTCTCTCCCTCCTCCTACTCTTCTTCTTTTTGGCAGTAAGCCAAACGGATTGCTGCACTTTGCTATCTCCCGCGAGCGGAAGCGTTCGTTGCCCTCCTTCTGATCGATAACACGAGCTATACATATATAATGCCGCACGGACCGCACAGGGGGAGAGAGAGAGAGAAAAGCCGAGTCGTCGAAAAATCCGTGCAGCGCTAAGACGAGCTAAGGGGGTACGGACTATAGAAGGACTGGGTCGGCTCGGTCACAGGAGACACTCACGTTAAAGCGGACGGTATTGAGGGCAGTGCCCAGCGGCGTCTCCATGCGGATGGTGAGACTCGGCGCCAGCGTGAGGTAGCTCTCGTCGGGGGCGCAAGGCCTGGTGCTGCGGGTGAGATTGCGCAGCGCCGCGTGGGCGCAGAGCCGAGGCGTCTCGTCGCAGAGCACCGCCAGGGGCATGCCCGTGGCCGGCGCCCCGTCCCAGAAGGTTAGCTTCACCTGGCAGGCCGGGCTCGTCGACGATTGGTCCGATTGCATTTGCAGCAGGCTCGTGTTGCTCTCGGCGCTCTGGCCTCGCAAGTCGTGCTGCGAAAAAAACAAAAACAAATAAAACCAGCAGCTCTCTCGATGTCGGTGCAGCTAATTATTTTTTGTCGTAATTTCGACGGACCTGCGAGTAGGAGGCAAAGTAGAGCCAGACCCGGTCGCCCGAGGCGCCCTTGATGTTCCAGGTGCAGTTGGTGCCGGGCGGCAGGGCGTGCAGCGGCGCTCGCATCATGCCGCTGCGCTTCTGCGTGCCGTTGATGAAGAAGTAGCAGCCCTGGGCGGTCTGGGCGTAGTCGTAGCCGTCCGAGTCGACGTAGACGACCTGGGTCTCGAGCTCGACGCGCAGCTGGGAGGCACCCAGCGGCAGGGCCATCGCCGAGCTGTGGAACTCGACGAGCATGGCCGGGCCCCGGGCGGTGACGCGCGGCAGCGGCCCCCCGCAGTAGATCAGCAGTATCTGGTCCTCGCTCCTCGAGCCGTCGCGCAGGATTATCCGGTCGCGCTCCTCCGGGCAGTCGTTCCAGACGACGAGGGCCTGCGAGCCGTTGTTGGCCAGGGCCGTCGGGCTCGTCTTGACGGACATCATGGCGTGCTTGCAGGTCGGCACCTCCTTCTGGCGCAGCGTCACGTAGCAGCTGGCGTTGCGCGGGTACTCGCCCGGGTAGTTGGGGCTCTGCACGCGGCACGTCTTCTGGTAGCACTCGTAAAAGTTGCGCGAGCAGTAGGTGCCGGGCACGGGCGAGCCGCGCTCGATCGGCTCCTCGGCGGTGCCCAGCCTCGCGATGGCCTCGTGCCGCGACACGAACCTATACCTCAGCCGGAACTCGAACGGCACGCTGGCCGGCGCGGCGAACAGCCTTATGGACGCCGTCACCGTGCTCGTCTCGCTGTAGTAGCTCGCTTGGCCCTCGCCGGCCCCGCACCAGGAGCCACCGGTGAACGGTCGCCCGAGCTCGGCCAGTTGCATCGAACCTATGTATACCAAATCATACGTAATAATACGTAATAATACGTAATACAAAGTCGATCGAGTTAAAGGCAATTACCCTCGGGGCAGCTGGTGTACATGTCGCGAGCCTCGGGATCGAGCCTGCCGATGCTGAAGGCGTCCCAGAGCAGCTGGACGAGCTCGCCGTGGCCCTGGCCGCCGGCGGTGAAGGTCAGGTGGCAGAGGAAGGGCAGTCTACCCTCGGCGGGCCTCGGCAGGTCGAGCCTGTAGGTGCGGCCCTCGCGGCCGTGGTAGGTGCGGTTGCAGGGCGTGCAGAGGGCCGGCTCGTCGCTGCCGTCGCCGCAGTCGTCCAAGCCGTTGCAGTAGGCGTCGACGGGCACGCAGCGTCCGGTGCGCCGGCAGGCCAGCTCGGCGAGGCCGCAGCTCACGGCGCCCTGGACCGCCGCCCGCTGGGGTAGCGCCAGCCAGCACCAGCCGAGCACTATCAAACATGTCTCGAGGCTCCTGAGCGTCCTCATGGCGATGGGCACTGCTGCTCGTCGACGATGGGGGACCTCGGGGTCCCGCTCGCCTCCATCAGCTCTTTTCCTCTGTAACATAAGTAACGCAAACCAATGTCAAGAATTACATCTACCTGGCATCTCGACATTTACTTGGCCAACTATGCCAAACCTTACAAACATTCCAGTTACGAATAAGACAACGTCTAACTTTCGAGAGCTAACACGAGACCAAGAGTTAAAGCTTAAAGTTCGCAGTCGCTGGTGCGTGCTGCAGCAGTCAAAATGCATTTATGCGTGGCTCGCTGAATAATATAAGCACCATCGGGCTTATGCATAATTTTAACTCCGGTAAGAGCAAAATACTTTTCTCCACTGAAACTTTCGCGATAGGCGCGATGGGTATGGCAAGTTAGTTCGTAAAAAACGACCGAGCGTATCCGTCAATGACTAAATTTAAAAATTCAACTACTTCGTTGATACAAAGAGAAAAGAGACTATAATTATTTGTAGTTCAAAATAACCCGTAATATTATAGCAGAAAATAATCGAGAGAAATTTTTAATTAAGCGAAATCCCTAAAACAAAGAAAACCAATCAGGTACAAAAAGTCACTCAAAGTTTCATTCTGATGGCTGTTTACAATGGTTGCAAGATAACTAACACCAAAAGTGAATCTTCGAGTGTATTTGCTTTATTTTGGATCTATTTTGTTTTCAAAAGTTCTTTTCTTTTCCTTTACGCGCTTGTCGCTTCCAAATAAGGCTTTATAGCCAATTTTCAATGGCAGTGCAAATAGGTGTTAGATTGAACGACAGAGCATCGATATTACGTCGCACAGCTGCATCAGCGAATTTTCTCATTCGAGTGAACAATTTTCGCACTAGGAAACAAGAATGCGCATACATCGTGTAATATGGAATGATCGAAACGTTATTCCAAATCCGATTTGTCGAGCAACAAACGCGGCTGTTATGACGATAAGGGCTATTAGTAGGCATGCGACCGCAGATAGCCATTTCACTCGTAGCCGCAAGATTTCATCCCGAGCTTTCGGGAGGGGGCTCTCCGCGTCTATAATACCTACTATGCATATATAAATTCTTGCAACTATGCCGTTTGCCTATATAGGTAGATCCACAATGTTACGTTGTTGGCATAGCCACGCACAATATCGAATAGGCTAGACGATTGTATGGCTGTGCGCGAAGCAGCACATCCCTATCGAGGCGACCGCGTTATGTTAGCCTACAGGGAGACGCTGGCCTATTTAGTCGGCACAACTATACGCATACATCCCCGTTCGCAGCTGCCGACGACCAACTCTAAGCGTACATCATCTGTTTGTAGCCTGTAGAAAAATATAAAATAAAAAAATAACGATCGCGTGGAGATAGGAAATGTTCGCAGTCGAGTGTGTGCTCTGTGGACTGCATGAAGCCATTCGTCAGCAGGAAAATTTTCGCATTTAAGGTCCCGGAGGATTCGATCGTGATCAATTAACAGCAGCGGATCGTTTCTATAAGCGACAGTAAAGGTATATATATATATATATATTTTAACGAGGGCGAAATTAATCCTGAACAGTATTAGCAGCCACAGCAGCAGCTGTATGCGCCGAGCTTGCTTTAGCTGAAGAGCGTCTCGTACTCGGAATCGAGAAAAAAAATTTACTTTCAGCTTGAGCTCAAGCCAAGCCGGTATCGCATATGTAAAGCTACGCTTAATTAGCCCATTTTTACGCGCGCCTAAGGTTCTCATAAAAAAAAACAGAAGAGAGAAAAGTAAAAGAAGGTCAAGAAGCTGGGCCGAATGAGTGGCTGCTGTTTTGCAGCTGTACACGGCTAAGCCAACTGCTGTATCGGTCGAAGAAAAATCGATGCTTTTTTTTTCAAGAAGAATCTTTTCTACCTCTAGCAGATTTTTCCGATACCAAACCCGTCCGGCGTGCTCGCGCACGTCTCAGCTCGTGCCGTTGCCGGCAAGTAGCTGCACTGAATGTCTGCACCTTCGACACTTTTTGCATCTCCCGTGAAATTTTTTTTTCATTTGTTCGAAATGGTTTTGAAATCCCAAAGATAAGCCACAGCGAAAATATTCGTGGCTTGATGATTTGATTAATATTCATGCTTGCCATTTATTCCGTGTAAATATTATTGTTCGACAGAAATGTTAAATTCAGAAAATAACCATAAATTAATTCATCAAATAACAGACACGCAATAAACAAACGAGCACCCATCAAGCCGTGAATTTCATCACAATATCAGCGTATACGTAAAGTCACTCGTAATCGATATAAATGTAAATTTCGATCGTATACGCAGTATGCATGTAAAAATTTCGGCGGTCCCTCTTCTTTTTTTTACACTTCTGTAGGTACATTATACAGCGTGTGTGAATAACAATGAAGGAAGCAAATTCTCACAAAAGCGATTCCAAGTCTTGCCTGTACTTTGACGTGTCACGGCTTCATACTCTCGACGCCAATTATTATCGCTACATCGTACGATATCGATCGGCGCACTCATCTCGTCACGGCCGAATTTCCATACTTATTTTTGCGAGAAAAACAAATCTAACCGAGAAAAATCTCCCACCTTTTACGTTATTGCAGAATAATTTTCATTAAAACTCAACAATTAGCTAAGTTAAATTATGAAAAAACAAAAAGAAGCGGATTTTACGACTCTTTTTCGTGATCGCAGACACGGAATAACGACTCGCAAACATTAAGCACATATAATATATAATATTGGTGTAAAAGTTTTGCAGAGTAGCTTTCAATGCTGCTGGATCTTTCGTTCGTTGACGAAGTAGAACAAAGCGAATCATCACTGTGAACAATTTGACGAGAGAAAAGTTTAATTTAATTCAGTGAGCGCAGAGAGACTTGCCTCACGTTTCATGGAATTTCGATTAAAAAAGAATAATGAAAAACGGAGTAGCGCACGTTTCTCGTTCGCGTATAATATAAAAACGTGCATGAGTTTCACAGTTTATCGAAGCAAAAATTGATCCTGCCACGCGTGCAGCCTCGTTGTCATGTGTGTAAGTGTGTATATACATAGCGAAATACAGTTCTAATGGATACAGGTGCAGAGCTCGGGCGCGAGTTTCATTCATAATGAAGTCATGTTTTTTTTCAATTAGTCGATACAAGTATGTACGAGTATAGCAGGTTGGCCGATCATTTACACCCACCAAGCTCGCGTATTATGTAGCTACAAGTATACGTCAACTGAACGCGAGTCGCTGAGCTTGTTTTTGACTGAAGCTGAATATACACGTATACATTTTATGTATGTATGAATGACTGTCTGTAAACCGCACATGTATGCGGCCGTATATTCGACGCTGTTAAGGAATACTAGCACGTTCCAATTCATTAGCGAAAACTAGCATTTATTTGAAAATTTCGATGTTAATCGAACACTAGCATATTTCAAAGGGCTAATCGAAAACTAGCATATTTCACATTGGCCAAACGAAAACTAGCATGTTTAAAAAAATCAAACGAAAACTAGCACATTTCAAAAGGTCAAACGAAAACTAGCACGTTTGGATTGTGGTTGCAAAAAAAATGATGGAATTAGTAATACATATTGATTTAATTATAACGCGCCTGTCTCGAGCTATTATTTAGTCCAATCGCCCTACGTCTAACTCTCTTTCAAAGTACCTAATGCACCTAGAAAAGAAAACCAAGTTATCATTTTGATAGAAAATTTTTTCATTTTTCCGAATTTGAGATCAGATTTCCTGAAATTTTCCATTTTTTTCGGGTAAATTACCATGTAACGCCGACTAGACCTAAAAAAATGAGGTTTTTTTCTCTTTTCTGGCGATTTTTCCTAAAAAAATGAAACATTTCCAGAAATCTGACCTCACGTGCGGAAAGTCGAAGAAATTCCCTATCGAATATATGAATTATTTTTGTTCTAGATAAATTATGGTCCTTTTGCAGCGAATTGGAAATGGAGCGATTGAACTAAATAATAGCTCAAAGTGGTTACGCTAGGAGTAAATAAAAAACTGTCTCTGTACATTAACAAAAATTATTTGTGAAAGTATTATTTCAATGTGAGGCATTTCACACCAAGTGCTCTAGCCGGTCGCCGTACGGCTCAATTAAACGAAATCACTCTATTTCCATCTCGCGTAAAAAGTATCAAAATACACTCAGAAAAAATAATTAAGTATTGGTTTCGATAGGAAATTTCCTCAGCTTTCGATTGGGACTATTTTAAAAAATCTTAAAAATGCCGTTTTTGAGATATTGGCATTTTAAAGTTTATATCAAGTTTTTCCGATGAAAATGATAAATTTCGGAAAATCTGACCACACCATCGGAAAGCTGAGGAAATCTCCTATCGAAATCATTACTTAATTATTTTTTCTGAGTGTATTTTGATACTTTTTACGCGAGAGGAAATAGAGTGATTTCGCTTAATTGAACCGTGTGGTGACGCACTAGGACACTTGGTGTGAAATGCCTCATGTTTTAGTTTTCCTCATATAACGACGAAAAGTGTTAGTTTTCCGTAGAGAACACCGAAAAGGGTCTTAGTTTTCCAGAGAGGTCCCTGAAATATGCTATTTTTCGTTGCAGAATAAATGCTGATGTTAGTTTTCGCTAATAAATTGTGACGTGCTAGTATTTCTTAACAGCATCGATATAACGACGAAAAGTGTTAGTTTTCCTTAGAGAACGACGAAACATGTTAGTTTTCCGTAGAGACCATCGAAAAGTGTTGGTTTTCGTTAGAGAACACCGAAAAGTGTTAGTTTTCGTTAGAGAACATCGAAAAGTGTTAGTTTTCCAGATAGGTCCCTGAAATATGCTATTTTTCGTTGCAGAATAAATACTGATGTTAGTTTTCGCTAATAAATTGAGACGTGCTAGTATTCCTTAACAGCGTCGATATATACTATGCACAACTCGCTATGGCTCTGCCTTAATTTTCACACTTTTTTCGCGCAAATATCAAATCGTTGAAAATCCGATAGTAACTTTTAACCGTACCGAGGCGTCGAGAACGCGAATTTACTTTCGTTGAAAATTTAACAGCGAGGAAAAAAATTCGATA